CATTGCCATTTGTGAAGAAAATTTCCTTCGATTTAAAATAATCCCTTAATTTGGTGAAGGTTAGACATTTGACTTGTTGTTTAATTTACACTTTCCTTGACTGCAAGAGAAACTAATCTATATCTATTTGAAACTTGCTTTCAATTTTTTTGTTGTAGTTGTTGGTGGGAGTGGAGGGTTGTAACTACATCAATAATGATCATAAATAAACCTAAATCATTTTAAAATTTAGTAATTGGCTTGAGATTTAGATATTTGACTCCAAAGCACACCCATAATATTCTTTTAGCTAAAAATTTTAATTCAAACCCTCATTCTCTCATAAATAGATAATTATGTTATCAAAGGTGATATTAGTAATTATGATACTCATTAAAAAATTTATCTAATTATTTTTTAATTATAGTATCATAATACCGAATATTGGGTTTGATTATATAATTATATTAATATTAGATAACATTATATTAACAATAATTATGATACTGAAAAATAAAAGAAAAAACAATTTGGAAGAATGGAATCTCTAGTTAGTTGTTCATCATTTAATCAATAAATTAATAAAAATTAATTATTTAAGAGCATTGTTATTTTATAAATTATGGTGATAGTGATAGTAGCTTATTTAAAACTAATTATTTATGTTCAAAGGAAAAGCTAATATGGCAGCTAGCCTGACATGCAGGATTGTCAGAATGTTCAAGAGAGGATGTATCCGTAAGATGGTGATTTCTTAGTAATAAGCAAAAGTCAGTAAATTTGTAGCTTAATTTAATTTATTTATCCAATTATTTGAAATGATATTCAGATATTAAATTTATAATTTGAATTTTAATATTTATAATTTATTTTACATCTCCAGGCTACGTCTTTTTTATAAAATGTAAACTTTTATAGGTTTTTGGTAAAAAAAATTAATAATTATTTGCAGGTCAACGATGAACATTGGTTGTTATGATGAAGTGGCATTTAATTAAAGAAAGTGGGAAAAAAATGTTTCTTCAAGATTGAGCCTTCTTGAAAACTTAAAAAAAAAAAATCAATACATTATTAATTTATAAAATTAATAAATTTTTAATAATAAGAGTTATAAAGTTTGAATTTCAAAATTAAAAAAAAAACAGTTTTAAAATTTTAATTTAATATAATATTTTTAAAAAAATTATTAAAGTTGAGTTTGTTGGATAAAAAAAAATCAAATATCAACATACAAAATAGGATTGAAAGTTTTTTTTTTTTTTCTTAAATCCTTGTATCTCTCACACTATAAATATGATCCCAAGAAACAAAAGTAAGAGAGTTTAAGGAGGAAAGGAAGAGTTTAGCCTTATTCGATCATCATTTTTAGCCATGGCATTGTTACCAACGAATCCTTTAGTGTTTACAGTTCGTAGGCATGAGCCTGAGCTAGTCGTCCCAGCTAAGCCAACCACTCGTGAGTGCAAATTACTCTCGGACATTGACGACCAAGAGGGTCATCGATTCCAAATCCAAGGGCTCCATTTTTATGAACACAACCCCTGCATGCAAGGGAAGGACCCTGCTAAGGATATCAGGGAGGCAGTTGCTCAAACCCTTGTGTTTATTATCCATTTGCTGGTAGGCTGAGAGAAGGGCCAAACCGAAAGCTGATGGTTGATTGTACTGGGGAAGGTGTCATGTTTATTGAGGCTGATGCTGATGTTACCTTGGAGGAATTTGGTGATGTGCTTCACCCACCGTTTCCATGTTTGGAGGAGCTTCTTTATGATGTCCCTGGTTCTACCGAACTGCCGAATTGTCCATTGCTGCTAATTCAGGTATTTGTTTTTATAACTCTTATCTCTCACTTTGTTATGGGATTTTTTTTTTATGAAGGCCACGAGAGATAGAAGAAAAGAATGCAGAAATTGAGATTTGAATCACAAATAATATTTTCTCTGCATAAATTAACTGTGCTAAACTTTAGGTTCAAGCCGGGCAAAATATATATATATATATATATTTGCAAACAATGGAAAAAATTAGATTTATTAAATCCTTTTCACCTTTGAAAATTTAACAGGTGACACGCTTGAAATGTGGAGGTTTCATCTTCGCCCACCGGTTTAACCACACAATGAGCGATGGTGCTGGGCTATCTCAATTCATGTATGCTGTGGGAGAGATAGCACGAGGTGCGCGTGCTCCCTCAATCTCATCGGTTTGGGAAAGGCACCTCTTGAATGCTCGAGATACACCACACATAACATGTCTGCACGACGAGTACTACAATGATTCGGTTGCCACAAAAGGTACAACTATCCCGACTGGCAACTTGGTTCGTCGCTCTTTCTTCTTCGGACCAACCCAAATTTCAGCTTTTCGCAGATTTGTCCCTGACAACGTTCGCTGTTCGACGTTTGATATCTTATCTGCATGGTTATGGCGCTGTCGCACAAAAGCCTTGGAACTTGACCCTGACGATGATGTTCGCCTCATCTGCATTGTTAATGCTCGCTCCAAGTTTAATCCTCCATTACCGTCAGGATATTATGGGAATGTACTTGGTTACCCGGCGGCTTCAACAACTGCAGGAGAGCTATGCCAAAACCAATTATCATATGCATTAGAGCTCGTGAAACTCGTCAAGACAAAAGTAACGGAAGAGTACATGAAATCAACAGCTGATTTACTGGTGATTAGAGGTCGACCAAATGTCAACTTGGTTGGATCCTACATTGTGTCGGATTTAACACGAGCCAAGTTCAAAGAAGTGGATTTTGGATGGGATGAGGCAGCCTTCGTTGGACCAGCCACAAGTTTGCCGCTAATAAGCTTCTATATACAATCCAAGAACAAGGACGGAGAGGATGGAATTGTGGTGCCAGTTTGCCTGCCAGCCCCAGCCATGAAAAGCTTTGTAAAGGAGATGGATGGCATGTTGAAGGATGAGAGTAACAAATTATAATTACTAATTTTAATTATCACATGAGTTTGTAAGAATAAGTGCATAACCTGTTATGCAATCACAAATATTTCTCACTCGAAATAATTTTTTAGTTTTTACTCTCAATCTTTCATTTAATGTATACCAAATGGGGAGTTGAGACTTAATTAAATGTTTTTTTTATTGGTTTTTTGTTGTTTTTGGGCATTATTTCCATGTGTAAACTATTGGGATTTTAAGTTTGTTTATGTTTTCCTTGATGAGTTTCTTTAGCCGTATTTTCCTTTTTACTCTTTATAAAAGGATGGTTTAGGATGAGCTTAATGTGCAAATAGAATAATTTGAGTGCTTGTTACAAAGAGGAAAATTTTGGACAAAGATTTTTAAGTAAAATTTGTAAAATTTTTTTATCAAAAATGATAAGTATAAATTAAAATTAAAATTTTAAACCGATAGACTAAAAAATCTTATTATATATATCAAGTGCAAAATTTGAAAAGTTTTTAAAAAATTATATATATATTTTATAAATAGGTATTTTATTAAAAAAATTTAATAAAATTTTTACTATTAAATAAATATTAATTAAATTTGAATTATAAGTTGCATTTTCAATTACTTTTATATATTATTTATCTTTTCATTAAACTCTATTAACCTATCAATTTATATTTTTTTATTAATATTTTAGATCATTTTTAATAAAAAAAAAAACAAAATTTACTTAAAAAATTTCATCTAAATCTTGTTTCGATACATAGATCGTATATATTACTTTCATCTTATTATATTTATCTATGTTTGACATGTCTGATGGAATAATAAGCTCCTTTCCCCATCTTTTCCTCCATTTTCCTTTACAAATAGTTTAGTATTTGTGCTCTTTTCTGGGTTTCCAAGAAGGCAAAAATTGACCATTCTATTGTAGTAATCACTTGAGATTAGAGGTATAAATGATACATTAGTACTCGCAAGTTACTCGGGTTCGATTTGAATAAAACTCGAATTCGATTCGATTATTATCGAGTCGAGCTCGAGTAACTTGATTCATCGATCGAGTAGAGTTCGAGTATTTTTATACCCGATTCGAGTAGCTCACGAGTTTAATCAAGCTTTTATATTTAAATATTTTTTATTATTTTAATTAATAAAATATTTCAAATTTGAGTTCAAGTTCGAGCACAAATAATCGAACTATTATTGAGTATAAGAATCGAGTTTATTTTTAATCGAGCTTAATCGAACGAACTCGAGTAGCTCGATTTCGATTACAAATCAAGCTCAAGCTAAAAAATGAAACTCGATCGAGTTCGAACCGAGTATCGAATCATGAATTGGGAGTCGAGCTCGAACTTCTCACTGTATCTGTTCAACTCGACTCGATTACACTCTTACTTGAGATTGGAAAAAAAAATGAGAATCATTTATATTTCAAACTAAATCTAATGTTGTAGAAGTTGAGCCCCATGAAAGCAATACATATTCATAGATATGTTTAGATTGTAAAGAGACTAAAGAAAAATTATGAGACTGAAAATAAATCTACAACGTGTAAGCATGATCATTGTTTGTTGTCACAATAATAATTAATTAATTGTGGAAACTCCTTTGAAATCAATAATGGTGATAGTTGAACTAGATTCAACATTAGTTTTTTGCAGTCTAGATGTGGTCGATTCTTTGGCTTTAATTTATCCAAAAAAATTCTTTGACTTTAATAAAAGAAGGGAAAATAAAAAGTACTTGATTGGGAAGTGCTTATCAACATATAAAGAAGAAATCGATAATCATATGAGTTGTTAATAAAATATTAAAATTTTAATTTTAATAATTTCAAATATTCCATTATTGTATATTTAAACGAATAATTTCACAAGAATTTAAAAAAAAAGGGGGAAATTTGAGGATTCTTTTGAATCCAACATAATTGAAGAAAAAAAAAAGTGCCCTGAAGCTGGCAATAATTTATGAACAAAGAGTTCATTTCATCCTCAAGTTTTAAATTTGGACAATGTTTTTCATTGGTTTGGCCCACCTTCTCGTATTACCACGTTCAATACAATGAGCAGTTGGACCCAAAATGCGAAGCCCATTTTTTTCCTTTTGCCTTCGCCTTTGCTCGCACCACTCGTTTTCTTCTTCAACAACATAACCCAAAAATCACCGCAAAGGAAAACCTTAAACCTCCGCAATGGCCAAGACTCTAATAACAGCTCGCCCTTCCATCTTCTCATCAACAAAAACCAATCTTTTCCTGAACTCCTTTCCATTATTTTCTCATTTCAACAAATCTTTTAACTCTCAAGCCACACCCTTGGCCATCAAAAACCACCCAAATTCAAGGTTGTTTTGTTCTTCCAACATTAATAAACCAATCAACAATGAAGAAAAGAACACCCGGGTTGTTTCAATAACCGGGTTTAGAGTTTTGGGTCACCGCAGATTTTCCGTAAAAGCTACTCATGTTAATGATCCTGGCTCTATTGACTCCCCTCTAATGCAATCTATGGAGAAAAAGGTAACTTTTTCTCTTTCTTTTGTACTTTTTTTATGTTTGATTTTATTCAAAATTCGATTTTTATTCTCATAGGGTTGTTATTTAGTTGTTTCTGTTTGGCTAAGTGAAATGAGGATATGTTGTTTCTTGATTGTTGCTTAATTCTTTTTTGCTATTTGAGACGCCAGGATTTGAACTCCGATCATTGAACTAAGAGTCCAGCACTCTATTAATAGATAATAAGTTGAATAATTATGTCAGGCTAAAACCTGAAAGTTTAAATTTTTTGCAAGTTGATCAATTGTTAGCTATTAGCACTCTGCAATGTAATCTGTGTGACTGATGGAAAGAATTTTTTTCTTTTTAAAAAAAAGGATGAAGCCTTTTTGAAGTTTGAAAATAAAAGGCTTTCTAAATTAGTTTGTTCTGTTTATATTATCGAATGCAAAGGAAGACATAGAACAAGTTTCATGGCATCGATTTTCTTTGCTTTTCTGGATTTTCATTTAGGATTATGAGTTTAAGATTCAAAGAGTTTAATCTTCATTGTATATATCTCAAGAATCCAATTTTAAGTGTTGCTTGTAAAGCTTGTTCGAGAGGGAGAAATTTTCTAAGGCTAATTTCATAGAAACACTAATAGCCTAGAAATTTAGACTCGTAATCGGCCCTTACAGTAATTAAAGACATACTTGCCATTCTATCAAAGTAATTCAAAACAAAAGAGGAATATAACTATTTACTGTCCATTTCTTTTTGCAGTCAAAGTTATTCATTGTGTCTACTGTATGATTTAAGAAAACCCCTAATGCAAGCTTCAGTCAAGCCCTCAATCTTTATTTCAAGGAATTGCCTCCACAAAGTCTTGACTTTTTACGAAAAAAATTACTTTCAACTTCAGCAAATGGGAAAAGGTGTTTTTCAGTTTTTACCCATTTAAACCTAAGGTATCAATGGAAGTAGTCCCTGCTGATGACAAGAAAATATTCCCTATTTGTTTCAATGCAATTACTGTCCAAAACAAATTCTAAATTGTTTATCATCTCCAACTAACTATTCCAAAGTCCTCTTGTTCCTTTGTTTTCAAATAACATAACTGTTTGACAATAAATCCACTTTCAATATTCCAGCAGTCTCAGTAATCAATTCCAAGGAGAGCAATTAACATATCTCTTACAGCTGGATGATAGTCATCCCCTATAAAGCTGTCAATACAGAGGCACTGGTGACAGTCTTGGAATGAGCCTTTAAATAATTAATATTAATGGGTTTCATGTCTTGGAGTCATCTATAAGTTGATCAATTACAGGAGAAGGCCTTATTTCTTTCTTTCTGGCAAGAAGTAGCCATGTTTGACCTTTACAACAAGTACATGGCTCTGATAAAGCTTTTTATTGGGCCAACTTGTCAGGAATGAAAGCAAATCATAGCTTGGCTGGAACCAACTGTATAAAAATGAGAGTAGTTTTGTTAGAAAAGAAAATTTTCTCTGCAAAAGATGATGTGTGAATGTTGTTCAAATTACCTAGTCAAGTGTTAAAGGAGCCTGTATCAATGTTAACTGTTAATTGAAATAAACATGGGTGAAATGCAATTTATTTCCAGTTGATTGGTATTATTCATTTTATCCAACTATGCTGTAGCTTGAGTTCAGTTTTTGTCTAATGTGAGTTTTTATTTAATTATTCCAGTAGAGGCACCAGTATTATTTACTTTTTGCCATTTTAACTGTTGATTTTTCTTGTTCACTGTCGTTCATAGAGGTAGTATAATTCTTGTCTACTTGGTCTATGCTCTTATTGGAGTTAATGATTTACTTTGCTTCCACAGATCAAAGAACATTTAAATGCAGAATCAGTCATTGTAAAGGATGCATCTGGAGATGGTCGACATGTTTGGTAAGCCATGTTTTCACTGGTTTAAGATTGAGCAAAAATACTTGCTAAGAGCTGCAATGGCCTCTTGCTTCATTCTTAATACCGTTCTTGGAAGTTGTAGTTCAACGTTACGGTGAATCCATACAAGTAGTTGTTTTGCATAGTTAATAAGTATTCTGTTGTAATCTATGAGATTGCTCTGTCATCAGTAAGAAACTCCTCAATTCTGTAGATTTGTAGCAATGCTGTATGATTCCTTTAGCAGCATCTTCTAGACCTGTCTTAAAATTTCCTTTGTGTATTAGGATATGATGCTTTCAATTTATAGAAGGGATATACTTGCGAGTTGTAACATAGGATTCTTATGACTAGTGTAGACTTAAGATTATATGATAACATACGATGTAAAACACATAACTGTGTTATATCAACTGTTGGATATTCTGCATTCATTTTTTATGCATAACTTCTTCAAATTCTTTCTCAGACGATCATAGTGGCATTTTGCCTCAAAAGATTTGAGCAAGGATATGGGGTATGCCATTGGACATGGCTGTTGTGGCAAAGTAAAAAAAATTGTGTAAAAATTGAGGGTTGAAGGAAAGTCAAGCTCACCATTTCATAGGTTCTTTTGGATTCTAAGAAGTTTGCATATAGTTGGAGATTTGCTTTAATCAAATCTGTATTGCATCTTGCTTTGTTGCAGAAAAACATGTAAATCATTACATAAGACCACTAATTTGTTAGAATGTCTTGCTCTGATAAGTTCTACACTGCAATGAGTGAAGTTCGTTTGATGGGAAATGTTAAAAGTTAAAAGTTAAAATAAAAATATATCCAAAATAAATTCTTTCAGTGAACATACCATCATGGGACTAATAGAGCATAGTAGCTTTGATTCTCATACCAAATTTATGTACTCTAACAAGTACCATTATATAATTCTTGGAGACTATATTAATTATATGTTCTAAGGGGAACATAGTTGTCCAGTCCATTTGACATTATTATCTTCTAATTGCTCTAAGTGGGATATGATATTGTGCATAGCTCATGTCACACTGCCAGTCCCAAGCTCGAATAAAGGAGGAGGGTTGCGATAGGTTGATAGCCAATGTAAAACATAGTCAAATCATGATGAAAGACCAAAATAAGAATTCTCGTTAGGTCATCGCCTCCCAGCAACGCACTACATTGGAGCCCGGATGTAGTGTTAAATATGCAAGGGTTGCTATGTCATCGCCCGAGAGTGAGGTGTTGCATCGCCACCCGGATGTGGTGTCAAATAGCCAAGGGGTCTCATGTTTTGGTGGACGAACACAAGTAAAGAAGCTAGTCCATAGGAGTAAATTATGCTTAGTTGCTTGGAATAGAAGATCATTAATTGGTAAGCTTGTAGAGATGGGAGATGCAATGGCTAGAAGAGGAATTAATATTACGTGTCTCCAAGAAACTAAGTGGGTAGGGGAAAAGGCTAGAGAGATAGAAACATAGGGCTTTAAGCTTTGGTGCACAAGGAATAGGAGGAGTAGAAATGGAGTGGGGATAATTGTTGATAAGAATTTGAGGGGTGATATGGTTGAGGTTAAAAGAAAGGGAGATAGAATTTTACTTGTCAAACTTATTTTAGAAGAGGAAACTATTAACATCATTAGTGCCCATGCCCCGTAAATAGGTTTGGATTAGGAGAGTAAGTAAAAATTTTGGAAAGATTTAGACGAGACAATCCGAGTCATACCATACAGAGAAAAATTGTTTATTGGAGGAGACATTAATGGTCACGTAGGCAAGGAGGGTAATGACTTTGAGAGGGTACATAGAGGATATAGCTTTGGAGAGAGAAACAAAATCGGAGAGATATCCTAAAGTTTGCTACTGCATTTGACCTAACGATATTAAACACATGTTTTATGAAAAGGGAATCACACTTGGTGACATTTAGGAGTGGATTAGATGCTAGTTAAATTGATTTCTTTTTTACGAGAAAAGAGGATAGAAATAGTTGTAAGGATTGTAAGGTTATACCATGTGAGAGTGTGGCCACACAACATAGATTGTTAGTTTTCGATCCATTCCACCTCAGGGGGTCAAAGAAGAGACATCAAAGTCATGAACCACACATTAAGTGGTGGAACTTGAAGGGGGACAAAATGGCAGTGTTTAGGGATAGACTAGTAGAAGAAGTTGATTGGAAGACCGATGAGGATGTAAAAGGAATGTGGGAAAATATTACAGTCAGAATTCAAAGGGTTGCGAAAGAGATACTTGGAAAATCTAGGGATAAGGCACCAATAGGAAAGGAATCTTGGTGGTGGAACAAGGATGTGAAAAAGGCAATTAAAATTAAGCAGGAGCGTTATAAAAATTTATGGAATAATAGGGATGAGGAGAATTATCGAAAGTATAAGATAGCAAAAAAGCATACCAAGAAGGCTATTCCAGACTCAAAGAGTAGGATCCATGAGGAGTTACATAGAAAATTAGAGACAAGCGTTGGAGAAAAAGAACTATTCAAAATTGCTAAGACGAGGAATAAGAAGAGTAGAGATCTTAATGGCGTTAGATGCATCAAAGGTAAGAATGGAAGAGTTTTAGTAAAGGATGAGGAGATTAAAAAGAGATGGAGAGATTATTTTGATAATCTCTTTAATAGTAGCTTTGAGCATGATATAGGTGGGTTGTACATACCTTTATAGGATGTAAATCGTGTGTTTAAGTGTAATATTAAAAGCTACGAAGTTAAAGAAGTTTTGAAAAGGATGAGATTAAAGAAAGTTGTTTGACGAGATGGAATCCCGATTGAAGTCTGGAAATGCTTGGGTGAAATAGGGATAATATGGTTGACGGATCTTTTCAACAAAATTTGGTGTACCCAAAAGATGCCAAAAGAATGGAGGAAAAGCACTCTTGTGCCTTTATACAAGAATAAAGGTGATGTACAAGATTGTTCGAACTATCGAGGAATAAAACTTATGAGTCACACTATGAAACTTTGGAGAGAGTATGTGAATGTAGGTTACGAGGTGAGAGCATTATTTTCAAAACCAATTTGAATTTATGCCAAGACGTTCCACAACAGACGCGATCTATCTTTTGAGGCTTTTATTGGAGGGTTTTTGGGTGAGAAAGAAAGATCTACATATGGCATTTATCGCCTTGGAGAAAGCATATGATAGAGTTCCTCGAGAGGTGCTTTGGTGAGCCTTAATGAAGAAAAGAGTACCTTTAAAGTACATCGATATAGTTAAAGATATGTATGAAGGAGTGGTAACGAATATGAGGACAGTTGGGGCATGACAGATAGCTTCTCTATTACCTCAAGATTACATTAAGGCTCAACACTAAGTCCTTTCATTTTTGCATTAGTTATGGACGAAGTTACTAGACATATCCAAGATAAGGTGCCATGATGTATGTTATTTACCAATGATATAGTCTTAGTTGCTGAAACTTGTGATGCCCTTAATACGAAATTAGAATTATGGAGTACACTAGAGTCTCAAGGTTTTAAATTGAGTAGATCTAAACCTGAATATATGGAATGCAATTTTAGTAGTCAAAAGGAAGTGGGTACTAGTGTGATTAAGTTGGATGGTGAGGGAGTTCTAAAGAGTAGCTAGTTTCAATATTTGGGATTAATTATTCAGAGTTATATTGAGATAGAAGCAGACGTCAAACATAGGGTTCAAGTAGGATGGGCGAGGTGGTGAAGTGCTTCGGGTGTTTTGTGTGATCGCAACATGTCTTTAAAATTAAAAACGAAGTTGTATAAAATAACTGTAAGGCATGCATTACTCTATGGGACTGACTATTGGGCTGTTGGGAAACAACATCAGAAGAAAATGAACATAGCGGAGAGGAGTATGCTTAGATGGATGTGTGGTAAGACTAGAAGAGACAAAATCAGAAATGAGGAGATTCGAGAAAAATTAGGGGTGGTGCGAATTGAAGAGAAGATGAAAGAGGAACGTTTGCAATGGTTTGGACATGTGAAATGTAAGCTTATCTGTGCGCTGGTTAGGAGAATTAAGTCTTTAGATCTAGGAGAGATCAAAACATCTAGAGATAGACCACAAAAGATATGGACGCAAGTAATAAAAAACGATATAATGGTTAAAGAATTAGATGAAAAGGTGGTTGTTGATAGAAATGAGTGGCGCAAGAAGATTCAAATTACAACCTAACTTGATTCTTTTATTTGGTTTTTCATATAGTCGACCCCAGAGTATGGGATATAGGGCTTAGTGTGTTGTTGTTGTAAAACTCATATTCTGAGTTGTCGTTTTAGCAAATTACAGGGTAGTTTCGGTATAAAGTTCAAAGTCTGATGAATGAAATGGAGACTGAAGGTGAAGCATGCCTGCTGGCCCTGAGCCAGAATTTAGTTTTTTGCCCCTAGATATATTTGCATTCTCAAAAGATAAGCAGTTATTGGACTTCATGGAGTTATAATTAGCTTTTAGAGTGGAGGTGAAGTAGGGTCTTTCCTTAATAAATTAGTACTATAAACATTGATTGTTGGTCTCCATGTATCTGATTATCTGGAATGGCGTATCTCTGCGAATTATGATGTTGCACAGTTATGGCTAGTTCATCAATGCTGTAAATACCTACTTAGCAATAGCTAAGTCTGAATCACTCTGTAAACTGTTGATTCTTTTGGATAGTGCAATTTACTCGGTTTTGGAGCTTATAGTGTGCTTGGCTTCATAGTTTGCACAATTTCTGGACTGAATTTATCTTCCTTGTTGCAGCATTGATGTCGTCTCTTCAGCATTCGAGGGACAATCGGTTGTGAACAGGCAGAGGATGGTTTACAAAGCCATATGGGAGGAGCTCCAAAACACGGTGCATGCAGTAGACCAGATGACTACTAGAACCCCCAGTGAAGCAGCAAGTCAGATGTGATAAAAAGCATAGCCTATATTTTCAACCTGACAACCAAACTCCTTCCAATAATTCTCTTTAGTTTCCTTGCCTTATGAAGAGTCTTCAATCTGGTTTGGCTAGTAGCAATTTGTATTCTTCCTCTCCTTTATATTCCACTACCATAAAAGTCAAAAACTTTTGCAGAATTTATCACTGCATGCACTAGATAAGGGAAAGAGTTACTGTTACTGGGTTTTCTCCTCCCTTTCTTCTGCCAGAAAAAGGATGGAAGTTATTGCTAGTCACTACCATTGTGTTGGCTGTTATTATGATTTTGTTTTAGGGTTACATCATGAATGACCACTAAACTATACTGAAATGATAAATATGATATCTGAATTTAAAAATTTTTAATATGATATTTGAATTATAAATTGATTAACTAATATAGTACTTTGAAAGTTATTTATCTATCACGTGTCATTATTTTAAGTTAGTCACGTAGTTCAAGTATCACGATAGTGATTTTATCTGTCATCTATATGAACTATGGTTGCTGATGTGTGGTTTCTGATTGCCCATATTATTTCTGGTAAGGGCTCGTTGAGTTTGAACGGACTGCTGCAGGTAGGAATTTGGCAGGCATATACAAACAATGATTTCTTGAGGTTGGAGGTTTCTTGTGTTTGGTGGGAGAGGAAAATGGAGTGGAAAGTAGAGCTTGCATATAATTTTAAGGCAGCCCTTTTTACTTAGGGTCGACAATTCAATTCACTTCCGATGGATTTCGATTTAATCTAATCTCATAAGGTTTGAAAATTGAATTTCGAGTCGAGTTAAAAATTGTTAAAAAAAATATTTAGATCGAGTCGGATTTAGATTTTAGGTAAATATAACTTGACCTGATATTTATATAAAAATTAATTTTTTAATTATTTATTAATTTTTTTATTATATATATTTATATAATTATATATTTAAATATTTATATTTAAATATATAATATTTTATATTTATAAAAATAATATTTTATTAATTTTAAATCGAATATGAGTTATATAATATTAAATTGATTATTAAAAAAATTAAAAAAAAATTCAAATCAAATCGAGTTTGGATTTGATGATACAAAAATTGAATCGAATTCAGGTAAGCAAAAATTTATCTTCCATACGTTTCGTTACCAATTCTACTTTTATCTGTTTGGTATAGGGAGAAATCCTTGGAAAAAAAAAAAAAGAATTTATGGAAGAGCCTGTGTGCTTTCAAGCCAAAATTCGACTCTTTCAAATTGAAGATATTAGAATTTAATATTTTAGTCAATTGATTCAATCAATTGTCGTCAAAGTTGATATTTTATAGATTTAGAATTTAAATATTAGTATTTATAATCTTTATTATCATTTCAAATGAAAAAGATTAGAATTAAAAATTTTATTAAATTAATTTATATAATTATTTTTAAAAAATAATATTTAATAAATTTAAATTTTAAATGTTAGCTATTGTAATCTTTATTTTTATTTTTAAATTATAAATTTTTTATATGATAAAAAATATAAAAATAATATTATTTAAAATTTTAATAAAAATTAAAAATATATATTTTATATTTCATGAATCAACTTAAATTATTAAAAAAATAATTTGATATTCTTAATTGAGTCAAGCTAGCTGCCATAAATGCCACTCCCATTTTTACTCGAGTCCTCTCTCTATCTCTGTAGAACTAGGAAATGAAAATGAATTGAAAACATATACTAAAATAATAAAAAAAAAAAAGAAAGGGTAAAGGATGCCTTGCGTCCATGAAACAACTCAAGAGAAGCAACAGGCTTATAATAATACAAAAAAAACATTGACCACAACTTAGCACCTAATAATAATAAAAAAGGGGTTTAACGATAGCCACATTCTGCCCCCACCTATAAAGCAAACCCTATAAAAATAAAACAAACCTATCCCTTGTACAAAACGTAACTTTATATGTAGTGCTTTCTTATGAATATTACTTTCACCATATTTGTGTCTGATTGCACTAGTTTCTGTCAACTTTTGTTCTGAACTTAGTCATGCTACTTCTAGTTTTCTCCTTGCTATATTTATTTCACTCATTAATTTTTAAGTACAATAATTCGTATTATCTTTTTTATGTAAAATATTTTATATAAAAATTATATATCATAATTCATATTAATATAAAAATATAATTTTTTTTAAATTTTAAATTATAATTTTTTTATATATTTTATTCATATTGTGTTACTATGTAATGTTTTAAATTACCAATTTTAAAATTTTATATAGTGAGAGTTTAGTTTAAATATATTAAATTATAAAAAATAAAAATAATAACTATATTAGTAATAAAAAATTAAAATTTTTATATCCCATCATAATTGTTAAAAATTTTATAATTATTTTTTACATGATTTAATATTTTAAAAATATTAAATAATAATTTCATTATCAATACTTTTAAATGCATTTTTTTTTTCAATATACACAATTAAATTATCATTTAAAATTTTTAAAATATTCATTAATAAAAATACTTTCTTTATTATAATAGTTATAATAAAGACAACCGAAAAAATCAAAACTATGCTTAACAACCAAAAAAAAAAAAAAAGTAGACTAATAAGAGCTTTTTGCACTTTATTTAAGTCACACGTGACTTGAGATTTTTTTTTTGGGATTCGGTATAGGCTAAAGCCCCCACTAAACCCTACTTAGCTCCATTCTGGTTGAAAAATTAGGTTGCTTTAGGTATATATTTATGTTAGACAAGTCACCTTGACAATAACCTAGTTGGCAAGTGGAAGGATTCATGCCAAATTATCAAAAACTTACTATCTTTTAACTTATTTCACCACACTTTAGTATGTATATCATTTATTTCTTTGTAAATTAGTATATTTTTAAGGTTCCAAAAAACTTGGAACTGATCCATGCATTATTTTCCAGAATAAGATTTGTTCAAAATATTATGGAAATCAATGACCTTACTATAATTAGTTACAAATGAGGTGAAATTATCAAAATCTATTGCTTTGAATGGTAAAGAGCTTGATTTTCCTTAAATAAAATTTTAATTTCGAATTTTATTAATGAAAAAAATAGGTTTGAGAAAACTTATTCATTTTATGAAATTCAATTTGATTCGATTCCGAATTAATCGAAATTTAAAGTGATTATCGAATCAAAAATCTTAGATAAAAAATATAAGATGACATTAAGAAATTTGCTTGAAGTAATTATTTCTAGAGTTTAGTTACATGAATCATGCAAGAAAAGTGATTATTTTAACCTGTAATAAACAAGATTAATATTCCGAGGGTTTAGTCTAATTGATTTGTTATGTTGACTGTTGTTTGATTTATCATTCATGTTGAAATAATGGCCTCTTAATGCATGATGACTTTTACTCCATATACTAAATAATTTTTTTTAAAAACCCTTGATTGCTTTAACATAACAAAATTGCAAGTACAATCTTTCAACTCAAAACACAAGAAAAACAAACAAAAAAACAAGAACATGATCATGATCATATAAACAAAAAGAAGACAACAAACTCATGATCATGTGTAATGTTCCCAACGAACATGAAAACTACTTGCCTTGCTGACAAAAAACACTGAAACAATTCATCTTTTGAGTTCAGAAAGATTCACCAATCACACTTATAGTTAACACCATGTTTTCCAATCATATATATGGCTAGACTCTCAGACCATCTTTGACTGAAACTGAAGCTGAACCGTCCGAGCCATCACCATCGGAGTGGTCATTGTGTCTCTTTGATGGACCTGAAGGAGGAATGGGAACACCTTTGGTGAGAACACTGAAGGAAACTTTGATCATTTTATTATGTTTCTGTTTGTTTCTGAGGCTTGAATCATGTATTCTGTATACAGCTCCATTGCTTACAGGAAGGAGAAGAAAAAGAAACGACAGAAACAACAGAAAAATGGTTAGACTAATCTGTCTGGTACCCATTGAAAAGAAAAAAATATATAGTATTGAATTATTTGTATGAAAAGGCAAAGTAATCCGAGAGGATAGGCAGAAATTGGGAAAATGTCAAAGAAAAAATTTGCAGAGTAACGGATGCATATAGAGAAAGCACAAAATGTGGGATTTAGGTAGAGGTAACAAGAGACCAATTGTAATATAAAACGAGGGAGAGAGAGAAGGCTAAACTTATTAGACCTAATTATTTCGTGTCTTTGTACGAAAAATTACATATCATAATTTATGTGGATAAAAAATAAAAAATTTTTTTTTTATTTTATTAAATTTATATATAGTTATAGTTAAAATTTTAAATCATATTATTTTTATATTTATTTTTCATTTTATGTTTATTTCATGTCATCATATTATATCTTAAATTATCAAATTTAAAATTAACTCTTAAATCGATCCATGTATCATTTAAATTAATGACTAAAAATTCAAAATTCAAAAAAAATTTATGCACATAAAAAAAGTGCATGATTTTTTTTTATAAAAAAAATTCAGAGATAGATAGATTGTTTAGTTTTCGTCAGAACAAGATGTATCATATCTAATAGTCTAAGACAGGTAATTATAGATCATACATTCAAAATGATTTCAATAAATAAGTATTGATAAAATTCAAACATAAAATCTCTTCATCGAGAAAAATAAATTTAATCAATTTAACTAATTATTTATTAATAAAGAACATGATTTAAGGTAGAAAAAGTCTCTATTCGTTGTTGGATGAATCACATTTATATGATTGTTACCTCATTGGACTCTCCCATCACTCGTTTTTCTTCACATTTCATCTCTCTTTTTTTATTTTTTTTTTATTGTGAAACTCTTTCTCTTGCTGCTTAGAATTAAAATCTAGGATAGATCAAATTTGTTAAATTTGTTTCAAGATTAATGTAAAAAAAAAAATTATTGACAAAATAATTAAACTAAATAAAAATTACTTGTCATCAAAATAGATCAATGAATAAATTTGCATAGGATATTTTAATCCGAATATAACAAATTTAAGGACATAACATGAATATAAAAATATTTAATTGAGATAAAAAGGATTTAGTTGGGAGATAGTTATCCACTATTTCTTCTATATATTATTGGTTTTCGACGCACGAAAAAGGATTGGCTTAATCGCACGTCAATGACACTCCGATTAAAATCAAACGGCTCTAAATTAACCTCTTATTATTTATATATATTTTTCATAAATAAAAAATATGTATATGTATATGTATATGATTACAATTTTATTTAAAATTGATGGTTTTTTATGTATTTTAATTTATTAATTCATGCTATTTTATTATATAAAATATTATATTTAAATTATATTTTATATAAAATTTATATATTTATTCAATTAATTTATTTTCAAATTATTTTTTGTCCTTTGATTGGGTGTGACGTGTGACTGAAATGTACCAAAAGGGGGAATTTTAAACCCTAGCCTAAAGTGACAAGACCACTTGGTCAATGACGTGTGATAAAGTTTTACTTTTATCTATCTGCCTAATAAAAGCTTCGAACAATGCTAGGGCCAGTCGTTTCTTGGGTCACCAATCAACACTCTTTCAGAAGTGCATCAACTCAATTTCACTTACCTGTTTTAAATTGGTTAATAATAACAATAATAATAATAATAATAATATTTTGAGTTACTGATGAAGTGTTAGTTTTTGTTTTTTTTAGCTGATTGAAATTTTACCAGTTCAAAATTAAAGCCTAATATAGAGACACAAGTTGAGTCAACTCGGTGAGTTGACTCTTTAACTAACATGAGAACTCTTTATTCCACAACACATCCATTTTAATTTTATTAACTCTGAAAAAGGTAAAAAGATAAGTGGAGGATGATTAGACTCAGTGAAAAAAGGATGGAAATAGAGAAGAATTTGAGAGAATTGAGTTGGGAGAATATGATAAATCGTTCGAGATGGCATGGATGCGAGATCGACGACCGAACCATAGATATTTATATAATGAATTTCCTTGTTTTCATAATAGGATCAAAAGATTTGAATTTTAATTTTAAGGAAAATAAATATTTCCTTTTTTTTTTTTTTTGCTTCAACAAGCGATAATTAGAAAAAGAAATGAAAAGAGTTAAAAAAAAAAAAGACAAGCATTTTTAGAACAAAATTTAAAATATTTATACTGTGAGGAAAAGGCTAACAAGTATTTGAATGCAAAATTTATTATGTAAACCCATACAAATGTTGTTGAGACATTTCATTTTTAATGAAAGTGTTGTTAAGACTAAAGAGTTAGTGAAATTTTGAGTAAGGATGACAGTTTAATTCGTATTCGATGGATTTCAATTTGATTTGATATCTTAAAATTAGTTTTTTTTTTTTTAAATTATATTTTGAGTCAAGTCGGATAATTATAAAATAAAATTAGATAAACTTATCTCGATGAGATCTAATATATATATATAATTATTTTTTTAATTATTTATTTAATTTTTACATTTAAAAAATAATATTTTATTAATTTTAAATCGAATCGAATTAGAATATTATAAATATAAAATCGAATCGATTTAAAATAAATAAAAACTTACTTTAACCTGATCTGTTGCCATCTCAATCTTGAGCTTATTATAAAAAGTGAACTCTAAAGAAAATTTGCAGTAAAGATGGGTAACGCAGCGCAAGTGTAGTCCAGGCTTGTTTTCTAACGGGCAAAATGACAAGATGAGAAGTGGTTAATGTTTTGTTATAGACAACCGGTAACAGGTTTCACTTAAACAGCTAGCAATGGCAGAGATTAGGATTTGCCAACTCATTAGATGAGAACATTCATCAACACATACATTAAAAATAAAAATAAAGCATTAATTATAACAACTTTTATATATTAATTAAAAGATCTTTCAAAACGTTAGTTGAGTTGGTAAAAATCAAAATATTTTGTTTAAATTTGTTTATCTTATTAATAGTTTGGTAAACGATATGTAAATTTAATATAAGTCATCACTTAAATTTACTGTGTGCCTTTAACTCTTGAATGTAGCAAATTTTTAAGTTACCATGTTGTTTTCATTTCCCATTTCTCAACAACAATTTTACTGGAAGGTTTGATTGAAGAAATAATTTAAACAAATTGAAACTAATGAATATTCAAGATCCTTCGCTGCATCATGTAGAATAGATTGAAGTTTAGGCCATTCAGAAGAAAATTGAAAAATCTATACAGAAATTTGTAGGATAGGATACCGTGAAGGAATAAGGATTAAGTAAATGGAAGAATCTGATCACTTCAAATTTATAAATCTGAGTCTGAGATCTGCACTGTGGTGTGTCTAATGTGTTACAGAGGAATAAAAAAAACCTGGTTGTTATACACAAAAAATTAATGACTTTTTCAATTGGGGAACAATAAGCATAGAATTTCTCTTTTTCATACCTGGGGAACATCATTCTTCCTGTTGAAATGGATCTTTTTATTGCTAAAGGACTTGTAACCAAATTGAAAACCCCACTTCTGTAATTTGACTTGCAATATTCTCCCCCATCAAATTGTTTTAAGGATCTAATTCCCATTGCTGATTGGAAATGATGTTCCACTTGCAGATCCTCATCTTCTTCACTAATGTGTAATATATCAGCAATGGAGAGGACTTGGCCTTGAAACAGAAGAACTCATTGAAACTGACCTTCTCAATGGTTGGATTCCATTCCCATCCTGTCTAATTTCTACCATGCTGCTACTTTCTTGCACATTCCCCATATCACCAACACCTTCACCTGTTGTCTTTGGAGCATCATCTCACACAACAAGGCTACCCACAACCTCTTCTCTAACACCACTTTCCAAATCCTGGATCACTGAAATAACATAATTTCTTTGCTGATATTCAAATGCAGATATACCAACATTCCTGGAAACTTCCAGGATTGTCGCCGCCGCAGCTTGATCAGGCAAAAAAATGGTAGATGCAACATTGGCACGGCAAAGGGGACAACTAGAGTGAGACTGTAACCAAGTATCGATACAAGGAACATGAAAAGCATGGTTACACTTTGGCAATAGTCTCAAACTCTCATCTTCTTGAAACTCACTTAAACAAACAGAACAATCTGTTCCTTCAACTAAACCATCACCTTTTTTATACTTACAAACTGTTAAAGACATGATAAGACCTTCATCTAATCCTTGTGAAGTAGCTTGCCAGCCATCATGATTCATTTCATCCCTACTTTCGTTGAACTCTAAGCTTGTATGATCCTGGCTGCGCCGTCTACAATGCTTTGAGATGATAGCATAGCAACTTGCCAAGATAAATGCACTTGCCAGGATGCCAATAAATGCTATAATCAGATGTGAGAAATCAGTTCCAGGATCATCATCATCATCACCATCAAGGCCAAAAGGAGGAGGCGGTGGGAAAATGAGATAGCACCATTGTGGACAATATATGCTACAAAGTCCTTCTGAACAATCTTTATATGTATCATAGGGTGACCACGGATTTGGGGTGCTTGCCGAAGAACTCATTTTCAATCTTTGAAACAGCTTTGTTTTCTCTTAGATGTGAAGGGAAGAAAAAGTAGAGGAAAGGGCAAGTTGATTTCTTCATCTCTTTTTCCTCTACTTTATTCCCATTGCTTTGGCTTTGGGTCCTTTTTTTTTTTTTTTTCTTCAATGGCGATTGATGGGTAGTTGACTAAGTGGCATGTTTTTCTTGGATCAAAGAGAATTATTAAATCAATTGCCTTAAGTACCGTCTCAGCATTCAATATTGGTTGGTAAAGTGTAGTTGAGTGGATTATTTTACATTTCCTATAGAAAGCAAATCACATAACAACAGGCTCAACCAATGGGATATTGCCATGATTCCCAAATTGTGCTAGAATAAATCAGATGCTACCATTTATTGTCTGACGTGGCAAAATCTCATTGGTGAGCAATGAAATTTGCCACACAGGATTACATACCCTTTTTGGGTGCAATTGCGTAAAGCAGGCCTTAGGAGCAGATGAAGGATAGATGATAGGAAGATAAACTAGAGCTGCTGCTACAGTTTTAAAGCAGGGAAAATGGGGGCTCTTTGCAACATTAATGATGGATTTTTGCTATTCTAATTTCTCACTTTTTTCACATTTTATTTCTCTCATTACTTTCATTATATATATTGACTTGATAGTCGGAAAATCATTTCCAAGCTTGACTAGAACCTCTCCCCTGTCCCCTTTCTTTTATCTTGCAAGCGCCGATTGAAGAGGATGTTGACCTCTGACCCAAAATTTACCATCAATATTCGCACAACAACATAATGTCCTTGTCAATGTTCTACATCTTAATCAAGATTCAAGGTTTATTTTTGGGTGCCATTGATCAAGAGTGAAGGTTGATCAGATGGCTGTCCCACCTTAAATTAGAGTTGCAAAAACTGCAACTCTCTTTGGGTTGACTTTCAAATTCAATGGTCTTAAAAATTCAAAGGATACTTACTAAGATGGTTCATCTCATTGATTATCAACAAAACGAATTCTCCTTTATAAAAGTACCTTGAACCCGAAACTTAATTCGGTTAATTTATATAATTCACTTCAAAAGCTAATATTCAACGAATTTAAAATTCAAATCTTTACACTTACAATCTTTTCGTCTATTCCTAAACTCCAGCCTCTTATATACTCAAAAAAACAATGTGCCTTTATATATATATATATATATATATATATATATAAATTTATATATATATCAGCGCAACAAAATTGTCCGACATCATAAAGTTATAACCCTAGAAGATTTCTAAGCAAGAAAACAACTGAGTATAGGTGGCACAAAAAATTGCAACAAATCCACAGGAATGAGGATTCTTTGAAAACTAGAGTTTAAATCAGCCTCCGGATTTGACTCAAAACTCATAAGATGTTCACTTAAAATATCTCAATAGTATCACTCCCGAATGAATGGTTTCAAATCAAAATCGTAAGAGACAGGGAATTTATATGTTATTACTTACAGACTAATGCAGAAAATGCAGCTGCATTCCAAAACTCTATCCAGATGGAGCCACAGCATTGGGCTTCCAGGTATCATACAGTTAAGACAGTTTAGGAAGACTTACGAATTGAGGGCATCAGGCAGCTGGCTTCAACAGCAGCTGCTCCTGTTACCAATTTTCTATCAACTTCTGCTACCAGATCGAGCTTTTTATGTCACGGGTGAAAAAGTTTAACAATATGTCGATCTAATAGAGAGATGTATGGTGCATTTCTTAGTAGTGGACTAAACAATGTAATCTACAATACAACTGAGGAAGAAGATTATAGAAATGATTTTTCATTATTGATTCAAACTAAGATACAAACATTTGACGTGTTTATTTTCCTCTCAATTTCTATAAATAAATGAATAATCACTATTAAGGCTAAACCTATACTCAATTCAGTAGGGCCTATGCTTTTCCTTTTCTCCGGTCATCCAAGGCCTGCTCCAAAAATAAAATAAAAAAATGGGTCAAAAATAACTAAATGCACTGGCAACTAAGATAACAATAAAACTACTTTCCCCTGAAATTCTAACAATATATTTCATCTAAGCACTGTAGAGAAGAGCATGATTAATACATATTCTCATACTTATGTTGGTATCAATCTACTCATATTTTCCTTTATGTCCAAGTAGAGATATAACAGGCATGTAACAAATCATCATATTTTATTTTATCCCTTTTGATGCCTCAATATAATTCTTACTTCATTAATTCATCCTGAAAACCAAATCTGAATGACAGCACACATACTTTTTCAAATTTTAAAAATTTAACCTCATCTGATGGCTACTTCATCACAATAGCATTCTTTGTGGTTCTATTCATCTCATGACAAATTTGTAGGAATATGTACGAACAACAACACCACTCATTCATTTCACCCTTTGTTTTTTAAGAGAAAATCAAAAGATGACATAAGATTGCATTTAAAACTATTGTAACAACTCAACCTTTACAGATGTAGTTAATCTATAATAATCAATAACCATTGTTTTGGGTATCTTCTCATTATATATCTCCACTAATTCAATTTTTGCATTCTTACCCTAGAAGTAAAGTTTTCTATCTGATACCATAACCAGGTACAAGATAACTTACAGACATCCTTGCAACAAAACTTGCATTTGTTGACTAAAAGGGGTATGAGATGTCAATTGTTCAAAAGTATACGGTATGAGTTCTCCATAGAAACAATCACCACCATTACCACTATAACAAAAACCACATGCAAGCATTTGGAACACTCTTAAGCAAATTTTGATGAGAAAGGTACCTTGCTCTGGAACATTCTCATAGTCAAAATAAGAGTATCCCGCACTCTACAAAGAACATGTATAGCATTGCATTAGAAAGTATCATGGTTAAACAAAATAAGTCAGTCTAATAATATTTTGGCTAAAGGGTCAAAAATACCCTTGAATTATAATTCAAGAATCATTTAAGCTTCCAATATTTTATTGCAATCAATCAAGCCCTTATTCTTCTATTTTGACTCAATTAAATCCCTTAAATGGATAGAATTTAAGTCACATGGCAAAACTTATTTAATCAAAACCTTGAATTATAATCAATTGAACCTTTGGAAATACCTTAGAGGGAGAAGGGGAGAATAATAGACAAGAAAAAGAAAAAGGAAAAAGAAAAAAAGAATATTTTATTTTATTTTATTTTATTTTCACATATATTAATTGCGGTACATAGCAAACTTTAATTTATTTTATTGATATCACATGGAATTTTATTTTAGTTAACAAAAAAATTAACAATATTAACTTTTTCATTTAAATAAAAGTTTAATTGGATGCAAATAGATGTTGGAGGAGTTGATTGATTGCAATAAAAAATAGGGGTTCGGAGGATTTTTTAATTATAGTTCAAAGGCTTTTTTAACCTTTTAGCCTAATATTTTTTTATTTCTATTACACAAATATAAAACTGTAAAAAGAAAAAAAAATTGCATTAGACAGCCAAACCTCACACACTAAATGAGTTTATATTAAACAGCACAAGTCTACCACATGACAAAATAAACTATATCATCATTTAAACTTGATTGGTTTTTCTACAAACTTCTGATAAGAAACAAATCCAATTCCATCAGCCAACCCCACCACCCCCCATTTTTCTCTCTTTATCTCTATTCCCCAGTTCCCTGTTTCTTTTTTCATAGGAGGGTAGAGCTCTTGAGTTGAAACTAAACGGTTTCTATCTCATATAAATCCAATTCTTTAGAGTAATATTTTTCTTTTGCAAACTTATGTGCTAGCAAAGTCAGGAATGGACATAAAGGAAGAGTTAATATTAGTCTCATGGACATGCTTAAGGATAAGCAAAATGTAACAACAATTAAATAGGAAATATAAATAAATGATAGTACTAATTTAACAAATAAAAATATCAATCATCAGAACAATGTATTACCGAACATTATATGCGCTAAAGGGATGTGAATACCCATCAGAACATGTCAAAACAAATTGTGTTGAGAGCCCACAAGGTACTTTGATCTGCAACATCACCAAGTTAAAAATGCACTTGAATCTTATGTTAATAAGTCAATCATTCTGGCATAACTTTTATAATCTTTTTTACATGATCTTGCAAAAGATACGGCATTCAAGGCTATTTATGAAATGCATAGCATGGCCCACAATTTGTAGTCTAAAACCAGTGTATAGTATGCACTCGAATTAAGCAAATTATAAGACTCCCTTCCCAGTTTTATCATTCACCATAAAAAGGAACAAAAGAAAGTTTTCTTATGTAATTTCTTGCTCGGTCTCTATGGTTTGAAAAGGTGAAAGTTCTGTATTTTCATTAATTATGCATTGACCTAAAGGATATAATTCAGACTCAACAATTTCTTTTTATTAATTCTGTCATAGAAAGTGTTGATTTCATGATAGCAGATGGCATAGATAATTTCTGTGGTAATTATGTTGGCATTAAGAAATCATACAATCTAGAAAATTCATACAATGTATATCTGTCTGAAATAGATGTAAATTTTCAAGTCCATAGAATGATAACTTACAGTATATAGACCATGGTCAGACAAGTAGACTTACATGAGTTGGCATATGATCAAGTATGGAAACCACAAAATATGAATTCTACTCAGGTAAACCTTAGTCACAGACTATTTGGGAATAAAATAAAATAATAAATTAAAAATATTTTTTGAAGAAAATGAACGAGAATTTGAAAAGCATACTGATAATGCCTTTGAATATTTCTCTGAAATTTCCAAAGCTTCTGTGCCATTGATCTTAATTTGGTAACTTGAACATCTCAAAGTCAAAGTTGCTGGCTCCCAATTCTCGGAAGAATCCATCTGTTGAGAGTGTTGGAACAATATTAATTCTCTTGCTTGTTCTGTTCCACATTTACATAAACACATAAATGCAAGAACTACAAATTTGACAAGAAAAATTGCCTTTAAATTGCTCCATCCACATTTATTTATAAATTTATCAAGAACATTTATCAACATGTTTCTTCTATATCTTACAGTTTGAAGAAAACCCCCCTTACCAAACTAACCCACCCACCCACACCCCCCAAGAAAAGGGAATGGACTTTGTTCTCATATCAGTTGCTAAAACAGCATAACATCCTCTGCAATGGTTTTCTTTAATCCACATGCGTTGCTAAAAGTACATCAGCAGTCAGCATTGACCATCAATTTCTTTAATCTTCAATGATAAGCCTCATCTCTTCCTCCTCTACAAAGCATGTCTAAGGCTACCCTAAAAACAGTTTTCTCTGACTCAGTACTAAGTCTTTCTGTGGTTAGGGGTAGCGGTTTCAGAAGGGTGCAACTCATGAACAATTTGAGATAGAGAAGGGGGAGGAGAGGAGACTCATCGAACTCTGGATATTGCCTCCCTTCCTAATCCAATCCAATTTGGGTGAAGTTGGGTTCATAATAGCAATAAACCTCAATTTACCATGGCATTTAAAATATGAATTGGCAACACTATTTAGATTGACAGAAGTGGCAAAACTGATAAACAATAAGAATTGATCGATAAATAAAATGAAAGTCTCCTGCTAAAACAGTTACCAACCCATTTATTTGAATTCACCACGCACCACTTTTCTTGGAAAATAGATACTATTGGGTATAGTTACTAAAAATAAATACAAAGTAAAAAATAAAAATAAATCATAGAGGAGAATAAATATCTATATTACTTTGGAAGAGCAGTCATTAACCTACCAGCAACAGAACACTAAATGTTGCTTGGCCTCTGGAAATGTACATGTCAATCTCATTTTGCATGTCTGGGTCTGCAAAGCAGCTGATCAGATTCTATGAAAATAATAAAAATACGCCAAATAAATCATATATGTTGATGTATAAATGCATCAACATATATGTTATACACAATACTGAAAACTATTCAAAAACATTCTTTGATGTGCATGTAGGAATCATAAACAGAATCTTTCATTACTAATTTAGGAATGAAGCCAAGTAATATTTTGTCAAAGTTGAATAACATTATGTTAATTATTAAGAAACAAAAAGACAATGATCTAACAAGAACTATGTGGAAATTCAAGACATTATAGCATCATGGGACTTGAAAAGAATATATCCAATATATAACAGTGAAATCTTGATCATTGAGAATTGTATAAAGAATATGCACGTATGAATATGCAAAGAGATAAAGAGAGAGATAGAGAGAGAGAGAAGGACCATCAATAAACAAGTTCAAACCTCCGTGAAAGGTGTAGGGAAAATAAATTTCAAATTAAATAAAATTAAATCATATTTTCAAAGTAGAAAAACTTGTAATGCTGAAATTCAAGCAAATGGCAACAAAATTATGATCCCTTATCATTTAAGCAGTTGAATTAAGGCTTGACAAACATCACAAACAGATAAATTTACCACATCAAAATATGGAAAATGAAATGAAATACATTAAGGATTACTTCTAGTTAAGTTTCAGTGACCATGAGGTCTAACAACTCAGCCTCACATGCACTTATCACATTTAATTTTGCTCCGCACTTACCACATTTAATTTTGTTCTGATCATTAGCAAAAAGCCTCACTAGTTCCCCCTGACAACAGTAAACAATTTGATAAAAGTAGAATCAGGGAGACAATATTCTTCTCAACTAAAAATTGTCAAAAGGTTTAGCGAAGCGAGCTATAGGAAAATTTTATACAGTGTATGGAATTTACAAGGGATGTAAAAATGCAGCCACAACAAGCACACATTATTTACCATCATACTGAAGAAGTTAAAAATGATATTTAGTATACTATTCAAATCCTCATCAAGTCCAAGTGCAATGCAAGACTAGCATGCAAAAAGCTATCCCTTGTACACTATATGAACTACTATGTTCAATTTCATATTTTGGTTGCCTTTTGAAAAATCAATCAGATTCTATCTGATAGAATTGAACTGAATGAGTTCTTCATACAATTGAAAAAAGTATGCATGGGCTTTTGCTGCTAGGAAACTGATTGGAATGACATAAAATAATCATTGCTAAATATATATACCTGACGGCCTAGGTCATCCATTGGTATGCACTCAACAGCAATCAGTTTATCAACATCATCAGCTGTGACAACGTATTCTGGATTTGTAGCTCCTGGATAAAATGTTTTACCAGAGACTAAGGTATACAAGATACCTAAATGAAGAACACTAAAAGAAGGTCACATTCATTCCGTGCTTACCCTCAATATACTGCCTAGTGCCATCCTGAAGATGACGAACCCACTGCAGTATAAAACAACATTGTTAACATATGAAAGAATAATCCTTATGCGTTAAAGGAAAACTTCAGAAATGAAAATTTTCATGTGAATAGAATCCAAGAATTTCACCTGAAACATACAAAGTGTAGTCCCCCGAACCGGAAATCCACACCCTAAAAGCTTTCCTCCTGGTGTGGCATCACCAATTATCTGAAACCCCTCAATACCAGGCCCTTCTGAGTTCGAAGAAGTTATATTAGATCCATTAAAGTTATATAATTTTATTCCACAGATAAAATATCAATCACCTTCAGAACCATTAGAGGCCATCCCATCATGCTGAGACAAGACATTGTTGGTCATATCCTCTGCTCCAATATTCACAAAACCTTTATCAAATGCATTATCAGGATTAGGGCCAGTGTCTCCTCTGCAAGAATATGATTAACATGTAAGTACAAAGTAAAAGCATACTTAAATTAAGTCCAATTATTATCAAATCAAAGCAATGACTAGGCACTAAATGAACAAGTCACATTGTATTATTTACATCAAATAAAACCAATAAAACCAAATCATGATAAAAAAAAAAAGTTAGACTACCTTTGAATGAGGATGAATATATTAACATGTGGGATATATTTCCAATTGCAATCAAATTTCAAGATTGATATGGTACAGCAATATCAATGATGTTCATTTCAAGGCATATTAATGATAAAAAACAAATGAGACAGGGTCATAAACATAAAAATGCAGCTCAAAAAGGATTTAATTTAACCTGCCACAGCTATGTGCTCAAATCAGATGCGTCGAAAACACGCTAAAATATGCATGCTAAAGGATGAATAAAGTCCTAGAAGATTTAATCCCTCAACTAGCATATCTCCGTCCTTCATTATAGGAATTCAAGGTTCTTGAGAAAAGCTGCTCATAACATGCTAAAGGATCAATAAAGTCCTAGAAGATTTAATCCCTCAACTAGCATATCTCCGTCCTTCGTTATAGGAATTCAAGGATCTGGAGAAAAGGTGCTCATAATTATCATATATAACCAATTTCAATAATAGGGAAAATTATTGGATAATATCTCTTGCAATTTATAAACCATGCAGCAAGGAAAAAAATTGAGGCAGAGTTGTGACCAAAAGCAAAGGCTACAGATATGTTTCAGCACAACAGCTACAAGAAACTGGGTTAGTGATGCAAACCTATGAGACTTGAACAACAACTCCTGTGTATTGCCATTGCCCAATTGTTGCTGCGCCTGATCATTAAACATTAAATTTTTCACAGTGTGATCATTATCATGCATGTATCTCAGCATATTCTCAGGTGGCATAACATGCTGCTCATCTGTATATTGATTATTGGGAGAAAAGCCATGACTAGCCTGAGAGAGACGAGAAAAATAAAAGGACTAATTAATATAAAATGGAAAGAATGCAATAGATAACAAAAAGATAAAGAAGCAACAGGGAAAGAAGGTAATCTAGTAGATTACATGCAAATAGTACCATGGATCTATTAGGATTTTGATTTCTCAAAATGCCGGAAAGAGGGTTATCTTTTTCATGAGATCCACCACCAGCATGAGTTCCCACAATACCTGTCAATTCTCTAATTCTATCCTGTGATAAAAGTAAATCAGCAAGTCTATCCATTCTTCAAAATAATGAAATTAACAACAGTTGAACTCACTGCAGAAAGAAACACCTTGATCTTATAAGTTGCCTGAAGATGCAAAGACACATTCAAGCAAAATCTTGATGCAAGAAACATAAAATCATGTAAAGAGCTGATGCATGAATACAAACATACATCTACTCATAGCCACATCTACAAATCTGTGCATCTCAGTTTACACGGACATGCAAGCAGAGCAGGTAGCAATGTTGAAACTTCATTGGTCACATAGTAAAAAGTGGTGTTCAAGACTCCAGATTGAAGAAGAACAATGAAATGTAGAATAAGTTGAACTAACTATTACATTTAGAAGAGAATCTTTTAATCCTAGTAACTGCTTTTCAAGTCATTTGAAGGAGGAGAGTCACTAATTCTGCCAATTCCTTGGTTTTCTATATATGATGTAACACTTCTCCATTTTCATGCAAAATAAAATAAATGGATTTATATTTTAAAGTGAAGTCAAATTTAGCTCAAGTGAGGCCAAGTAGAAGTTGACATCACAAATTTTAGTTGTGACAGATCAACACAAAGAGGTTCCTATTGTGAAACAAAACTTGAATTTCCTTGTTCTAGTTATTTGATTTTGTAAATTCTTAAACAAATACAAAAATGTTATTGCAAGCCGAAAGACATGATCCTCCCATGTGCCTTTCAAAGAGAATCTTCTTCAAACTTGAGGAAATCCATTACACGTTAAATGCCTTTTGTTCTCCTCAGCAGGTATTGCTTTGGTAAAAAACACAAATCATTTTAGTTCTTAAGAACAAACCATTTGAGAAGGCTCAGTTATCCGAACCACTTTTGTACCAGGCTTTAACTTTTGAAATTGCAAGAATTAACATTTCAAAGTACGATCCCAATAGAATGATTTCATCTAAAAAAACATTCTTCTTATGTTCTACCACCAGCGTTGATAAACATATATAGTTAATGAATATATTTACAAGTGAAAGTTGACATCCAACTACAACTGGAATTCTCCTCATCTAACTAAATAAGAGTATAAGACTATGGCCATAAGTGAGATCAATGGTTTATCATCCATAAGAAGTATAAATATTTGTCTGCCCAGATCCTTTCTTTTTGGCAATTTCTATTTTGTACACGAAGTTTCCCTTCTTAAAATGTAGGGTATAAGTATAAATACCTAGCAAGTAGGAACTACAACTAACAAATGCTACAGGCAATCAGAGGACAGTACACTTACATGTGAGGTTCTGATCTTCCACTGTAACTGATCATGTAGGTGCTACAAATATATAAATGACTGTAAGTTTGATTTGTTAAAACCATTTACTTGAAAAAGAGAACACAAGCTGCTAAATAAAACAAGGTTCTGAATAGTCTTCCAGGACTAAAAGAAAGTTCTCAATGGAAAAAAGTTATAAAAATAGTAGGCATATAAATCACAATTTGAGAGGTAAAGAACAAGGACAACATGGGCCCATGAGCAACAGGTAACAATTATTGTCCTGATCAGGGATTTAAATTGTGGTTGCTTAACGTTTATCATGGGTTGCGGATATAATAAAGATCATCATGGTCATTACAGTCGTGAATTTTTTTAAAATTTACACAACTTAATACAAAGTGTAGTAATTATAATTATAATTATAAAATTCTTATTTTATGATTTTTAAAGTAGTTTATGATCTTTTGTTTACTTAAAAAAAATTATTCATAATTTTTTGAGATTACACAACATATTTATATTTGGTTTAATAACAAATATTTACTTAAGAAAAGTTCATATTTAATATTAAATTTAAACAAACAAAAAATTTATTAATAAAATAAAACATATTAAATGTCAAGTATTCATATATAATAATAATACAAACTTTAAAAATATAATTTTAATAGATTATAAAATGTTCAATTTATTAAGTAATTTATTTTTTAGCATATTAATTGATTTAATATTTTTATCATAAATTACTTTTAATTTATTCTATAATAAACAGCATTTTAAATTATTATTTAATTACACAAAAAATAATAACTAATCTAATACTAAAAAAATTAACAAGAAAAAAAAAACCATTACTAAAATAAATTTTCCTCTAAATAAAATATCCTTATGAACCAAAAAATTAAAAAAAAATTCTCTAAACAAAAAAATTTCCTCTATATTAATAACAATAAAAAAAAAAAGCTAAATCCACCAGCCCTTTACCCTGCATCTTCACCGATCACTCTTCTCTCATTATTTCCCCTAACTTTTCCCCAATCCCCAAGTCATTCTCAATTTCCCTCACCTTTTCCCCCAAGTGGCAACCTCTCATCGCAATTCCCACACACACCAAATCCCAAATCCCAATTTCAAAATTCCTACACACTCATAATCCCAATTCTCACCCACAGTCCTATTTCCCTCTTGTCACCCGTCTCTTAGGAGTCTCAATCTCGTGCACAGAGTGACTTTCACTAGTCCTCAATGATCCAAAGTCCAGTTTCATTCAACAGAAAATCACAGCAAGTAATAAATTGCTTGGGCTTGATGTTTTGTGGGAATGAATTTGTGGACTGAAGTCTCCGTCAACCAAGGGTTATTTTCTATTTGAAGATTTTAACCTGAATTTTTTTTTTTTTTTTGCTTTTTACTTAGAATGTTTGAATCAAAAACAGACTAGCAGTTGATAGTGGCCCCATATTGCCACAACTCACCGATTTACACTTTTTCACGGCCGTTATCTACCACTATTGTCGTGATTCCAATTCTCATCCGCTTTTTCATTAATAGCAGCGGCAGATAGTGGCGTTACCGCAAAATAGTGGCTGCTACACCACTACTCCACTATTTGAATCCCTAGTCCTGATAACATGGTCATAGGGATGTAAAGAATACATAAAGCCCTTCAAAGCCTCATTATATGAAACTTCATTGTATTCATATGCCAAATTCCTATAACTCAGATACCATTCAAACCTAACTCTTCAGCATAAATGATAAAAAATAGGTGAAGTATCCAGATGATTTCAAAAGATCTTATGTTTGTGTAACAAATTAACCTGAAGTAACATTGAAGCTGAGCATTTTGTAAATATGGTGCCTGGTGTTTTTATTTTTTATATCCTTGTAGCACAATGCACTGCAATCTGCAATCAGACCATTGCCTGCTTAACTTAACTGATACTTGTCCATTAGATCATCAGGAAGCATAGGGCATATAGAAGGTGAATTGATGAAAGTAGCCAATTCATGTTTTTCAATTGAATTATATACACAGAAGGCCATACCTCCTGCAAAAATCATATGAGAATGCTGGCCATATGATCAATGGTGAGCAACAGCCAGTACAAATTTTTTAATTATTCAGTAGATGTGAAATGCTCTGTGGCCTATGCGTTAGTGTATCAGCTTGTCCTGATTTGACTACATGTTTTAACTTTTAAAATTTTGATGGGGATAAATCAAACAAAAGTACAATAGAGAGGACCAGCCACAGAGAATTTTTTTAATTATTTAGACAGGCAAAGCAGTATGGCCTCTGCAGAAGCACCAGCTTGTCCTGATTTGCCCTATGTGATTAACTTTTAATTTCTGCGATGGTGATAAGTCAAACAGAATGTTAGTAAGAATCAGAGGCGAGTCAAAATTGATACCCCATATGGCCATATCAGTATTATTGCAACCCATTTGCCAAAATCCCCCTACCCAGTTGTCAAACAAATAGAACCTGGATGTTATCAAGTTCATACCTTCACACTGTTGGTAATGGCAGATGCATTTACAACGTGGGGCCAAAGACCATATTCAGCCAACAGACCAAGCATGGATGAGATGAAGATATATCTGTCATCCTCCGCAACCTGAGAAAAAGCAATGCGCTTAACAACCATAGTTTATGAGCAAACGGAGAAAGAAACTAGAAATGAAAGACAATGAGCAAGGAGTTTTGCAGAATACAGACACCCACACAAAAACATACTAAATAGTTGAAAATATCACTTGACGCTCGGATATTTTGATAAAATGGATTGATATCTAGTATCTTTCAAGATACCTAAAGGGCATATAAGCATACAACATTTTATACATTTAAGCGAACAGGTTAAAAATCACCCAGCTGGCTTGGAGTCAAACTGGAAAGTTGTCAATATATAAGAGTTAGAAGATTCTTTGATTTGCATGACCCCTTTATGGGTAGTGCTAGTGAGTAAATGGTAAGTACAGTGAAATAGCAATATGTTAACAATAACTACTCTTCTCATTTTTCAGCGTCTGGTAATTGGAACTATTCTAATGGACAAATTAAGTATATTGCTAAGTCTATTGAGTAAACATTTTGATCTCATTGAGTTATCATTGCTACTACAATGGTTCCTTGAGGTCACTTACAAGTTAAAACCAAATGTTACCGTGCATATTTAGCTCATTATATATGAACCCTAAACTTTAAATTACCATATATGTAGAAAGTTTGTGAGGCTTCATTAGTGATGTTGTTTTTACCGATTTGCTGAATAATAGCATTAGTAGTTTAAGCCAACATAGCCATGGCAAAAATGTCAAATATTATAAAGGAGAAAATATTTTATTCACAGAAATAGATGCTATGTTTCACCTTTAAATCATAGGTCAGCTTTAAATTTTCTTCAAGGTCACCTTTTCTGCGAGCCAATTCATTTAAGGCAGAAGTAATGGATTCATTTTGCTTCTCATCAATTGCCTGCGACTCAAAATGATGTTACATCAGTTCATGCATAAATGATTGCACTTGTCACTCAGTTTTAATAACACAAAGAACCAATGCAGAGAAAATTTGAAAATGTGGAGACTATAATGAACCATCCGCAAGTCAGAGAATTTCCTCTCCAGTGCACATTTCTCATTCAGCAGCTGCAATTCCTGAGACCATACAGATCAATGTGTTTTTTTGCATGTCAATCAGATATGTTAGAGCCAAAATGACTATAAAATTAATTTGAAGCATTTTTCTTGCAAAAGGAAATGGAAATTAATCTAAATGCAAGCAATGGCCTTTAGAAATGTTAAACCTTCAAACAGGCAACAGTAATTTGTTCACGAAGATGCTGAATCTCCTCTTTCTGTGCACTAGCTCTCAAATGAAGTTCCTAATTCATAAAATTATGAGGGAACCACGCAAAAGCCTCATCATGAGTGTAGAGTAAAATCCATCAATGAAATGTTAAGAAGTTCCAGTACCTTAGCCTTTTGATCTTGAAAATCAAAATTTCCATCTACTTTTAATTTACTTGGAGCAAGATGTGTTTCAGAGCTTTGCCTGCTAAACAAGGCAATATTTACTTGAAATTAATAACAAATTCTACAATCTTTTACATAAAACACCATAAAAGACTGTTAAATGAAACGATTTGGACCTGGTTGGGGAACTACCTATTTAAAAAATCAGAGCTCTGTGTTTGAACCCCATCATTGTTAACCGCATTTGTGGAATGCTCACTAGAAGCCATCACATTGTCAGTCTAGGTCCTCTTCAAGACAGCATCTGAGACCACAAAAGCCAATATTTTCCATTATCACTAACAAAATCTCGCACTGTACCTCATTTTATTCTCCTGTTCCATATTTCATTGTCCAGAAGGTAATATAATTTTTACATGATATGAATACCACTTCCACAGCTGTATGACAATTAACATGAAATAAAAATAGTCAGAGTTGAAAGCAAGGTACTTACAGTTATGGGGACACAATTTTTGTATGACGAGATCAAAGTCATAAAACATCCAGATCAAACATACAGCAAACTGATACTTGACTGTATAACAATTTTCAGCTCTTATATTTTTTCTTTTCTTATCAGGAGTTCATTCATAAATTTCAATAGTTTCTAGGAAAAAAATGAATTATTTATGAACAACCATTCAATACGCAGAACTAGGAAGGCTATCTGGACTAGCAAGGCCTATAAATGATCATCTCATCAGATGAAGTACAAGAATTACAAAAGAACCCATTAAACAGCGCCATTCCCACCCTTCAAAAGAGCAACAAATTAATATCATTGTCAACCCAACAGGAATGAAATGCAAAATAATCCGTCAGACCAAAAGGTGAGATGACCGGACAATGAGTTCCAAAATGCAATGCAAAATTTTTAAGTGAGAAGAATTTGCCCTTTTGCTTGGTTAGAGTGGTAAAGTAGTGGCAATGGTGCCAAGTTTACAAGACAAATCCTACACAGAAAAGAGAGATAACTAAAATGAAAATAATGTAAAAGTTCAGGGGCATTTAGCATCCTAATTCCCAGCACTTAGATTTTAGATTATATTGCAATTGCATTAAATCGCTAATAATCCAACAATTCAATTTCGAATGTAAGATTCTTAAATGAGAAGCCACCTTCTTTCCCCAACAGCCAAAATCTTAGTTGTCTCTTCTCCACTGCATTTACTTGCACAAGTCGAGTCTCCCATATATAGTTAGATTATAAAATATCTCTAAGAAATTTGTTAGACTAACATAAAGCTAATGTACCTTGGATACAAATCAGCGATTGTTTAGCACTCGGTTTGGAATAGAAGGGCTGAGAAAAGAGGAGAAAAAAGGGAGAGTACTATTCTTTTTTCCCCATTCCAAACACATCATTCTAAATTCAACTTCGTAACAATAATTTCATTTCAAACTAAGTTTGCAGTTTCCCTTTCTTATTTCCATCCATGACAGACGCAAAAAAAAAAGTGCCTGATCCTCAGATTAAAAACCCGAAACTAATAGGAAATGTTCAATCCAAAACAGCAGTAACAATAATACAACATAACTATCTATATCAACAAAGTAATTGGCACACCCAAAAATGAAAGACGGAAGAAAACTTCATTTGCTCAAATTAAACTCCATTAACATGTTATAGCCTTAAACTATTGCTAAAAGAGCTTTTTAAGTAAAGCTCCGTTTGGAAACCAAGAAAAATCAAAGAAAAAGAAAATTGACTGAAAACTAACAAAGATTCATATAGCCATACAAGATTCAGAAAGAATTAAACTTTTCCAATAATCTCGGATCCAAACAAGAATTTCAGAAAAGTTAAAAAAAGAAAGGTTTTTTATTGGTTTACCTGTGTTTGGATTAATTATTTGGTCTGCGTTTGCTGGCGTTAGAAAGGTAAAGAAGATCCCGTTGTGTTTTTTGATAGTAAAGTCCTGGTTTTTATAGGGGGTGCGATTTTTTTTTTTAAGGGAATGGAATTGTGGGTGGTTCGAGGTTTCCGTGTGGAAAGTGGCAGACAAAGTCAAATCCTGGTCGTTGGACTATCATTGCGTTTTTTTTTTTTTTTTTAAATGGGAGTTTAGACTTTTCAAGCACTTCTATTTGAGCTTTTATTTGTACCTATTTTTTTATATATTTTTTAATTATTTATAAATAAAATTATTTTTTTTTTCATATCCTTCTCTAAGTTTCTGATTAGCAAAACCAGAAACTTTTAAAGGTTTTCGGTTTTGCATATTCAAAAGTTTTTAAAAATTTTTATTTTGTATAAAATCAAGAAAAAATCTAAAAATTTACATATATAATTTTTATCTATCAATTTATAAATGAGCTTATAATTATTAAAAAAAATCTTTTTTTTGAAATACTATAAAAATTTGTTAGATTGAGATTTTTTTTTCAATTGAATTTTACTTCTAAACCCTAAATATAATTTTTTTTAATTTATAGAATATAAAAATTTGATAAGTTATATAATTTATTATATTTGAAATATTTAAAAATTGAAATAAAAAGTAATTTAGTAATTTCATTAAAAATATAAAAAAATTATGATTTATCATTTATACCAAAAAAAAATGATTTCTCATTAAGCATATAATTATTTTTACAAAATATCGAGATAAATAAATTATTCGATCTTAAAATAGATCAAAACATATTTTATCTTGCAAAATTTTACATTTAAAATTAATGCCAATTACAAGTCCTAATAATTTGAATCCAAAATTATTTTATTATCTCCTATTATGGAACCTTCATTATTTTTTCATTGGTACCGTTAATCCAATATCATATAATTTTTTGTTAATTAAATTGATATGATATCTTAATAAAATCATAATTTTAAATATTATTTTAAAAATTATTATTTAATATACTATGAAATTTTTTAATTTTATAAATGAAATTAAAAAACTAAAGCATATCTCATTTTTATTTTAAATATACCTAAAAATTATGTGTTATTCTATTAACCCACTTGTGAGTTCTAAAAAATTTTATTGTCAACATATTTAATAAATTCTTTTATTTTAATTATAGCATAATAATTCTTAATATTAGTTTAACTACATAATTACATTAATATTATATAATATTAAATTAAGAGATACCATATGAAAAAATTTTTCTTTTCTCAAATAACACTTGTTATATAAAATATGTCATTTCCTACGAACTTTTTTCTTGATTTTTTTTTAGAATTATAATTTTTTTACGTAAACAGTAAAATTTTTTAATTTCATAAATAAATATAAATACGTTAATTTCAGTTTTTTCTTATTTATTATTACATAGATATCCAAAAAAAGCATTACTCAACCTTTAAAAGGACCAATTTTGCTATATAAAATAAGAATTCTTTTTCATTTTGTATAAAAAAAGTTTATTTTAAATTTTTAATGTTTTCCTCTGTGAATTTTTGTACATATTTCTTGTTATTTTATGTACACACGTTTAGAAAAGGCAATTTGATCCATATCCGGCAGATTCCAACTTAACATAATTTCTTAGGGTCGATTTTTTTTAATTAGATATTAGATTAGATTAGATCAAGTGATTAAAAACAAATTATAGTTGAGTTAGGGTCGAGTTTTAGGTAAACTCAATTTAATATATATAAATTATTTTTTTAATTAATTAATTTTATATTTATATATTTTATTTAATTTATATTTTAAAAATAATATTTTATTAATTTTAAATCGAATCAAATCAGATATAATTTTATATAATATTATATTAAAACGGATCGAATCAAATTTAAATTTGAATTCAAATAAAAAAAATTAAAAAAATAAATCAAATTTAAAATGGATAAAAATATGTTTCGACTCGATCTATTATCACTTATACAAAGATCTATAGATTACTGGATGCAAGGGAGGGAAGAGAATTCAAGAAATGAAGAGTTATTTATTATTCGTTTTAATTATAGATAGATTTTGGTGAACATTTATTTGTGACATTAATTGTGATTTCAGACCAAAAAAATATACTTTTTCAAGTGGTTTTAAATATGTAATTAATTAACGTACCAAAAAGATGCCATGAATTTATGGCACATTATTAAAGTGTTTTATTTTGAAAAAATAATAATAATAATAAATAAATAAAACATACTGGGAAGTTGTTAAATCTTCAGCATGTGATTTTTGAATAGCAGCGTTTCAAGTTATTTGAATAATAAGTGGTGTAGTTTTTAAAGGTGTAAATGATATATTAATATTCGTAAGTTATTCAGATTTGATTCGAAGAAAATTTGAATTTATTTTGATTATTATTGAGTCGAGCTCGAGTAACTCGATTTATCGATCGAGTCGAATTCGAGTATTCTTATATCTGATTCGAGTAGTTCACGAGCCTAATCAAATTTTTATATTTAAATATATTTTTATTATTTTAATTAATAAACTATTTCAAATTCAAGTTCGAGCTCGAGCATAAATAATCGAACTCTTATCGAATATACGAATCGAGCTTATTTTTACGTATTAATCGAGCTTAATCGAGCGAGCTCGAATAGCTCGAATTTGATCACAAATCGAGCTCGAGCTTGAAAAATAAAACTCCATTGAATTCGAGTTGAGTATCGAGCCGCTAGTTATGAGTCAAGCTCGAACTTCTCACTGTGTCGGCTTGATTCGGCTCGATTTACACCCTTACTTGTATTGATATGATATTTGCGCTTTATTATGGGTTAAAAAATTTTTATACCTATTTAAAAAAAAATGAAATCAAGACAAAAATAAATAATTTTTCTTAATGTAAATGATTAAAAACTTAACTAAGCATTAAGATATATTTTATAAAGATTACAAATGCAAAAGAAAAAATATTGAGGTGTTAAGCGGGTAAATTTATTGAGTTTAAAATGTTAATCTCTTAAATTAATATTTTAAGTAATAACTTAATTAATATAATTAATATATAAATATATAATTAATAAATAATAAAATATATATACTTTTTTATATTTATTTCAAAATAAATCGAGATAAAATATTTTTACTTGCTTTTAATTCTATGTTCTTTCTATTTAAAATTTTGCTCCATCTTAATTTGATTTCGACTTAAGAAAAAAAAAACTATTATTCCTTATTGGATAAGAATGTATCGAAACTTATCCTATACTGCTTGTTTTATCATCTTAATTCACAAAGTTTATTTTATTATAAAATTTATCTAATTAAAAATAAAAATAAAATAAAATAACCCAAATGATGCTGCTAGTCAATACTTTGATTGAGCTCCCTTTCTAAAAATATTATTTAATAAAAAAAAGTTAAAAAAAGCAAAAGAAGGCTAAAAAAATTTTTAAAAAAATTTATAAGATGTCATATGGACACCTTATTAAGCTTCAAAATCTAAAATACTAATTATACGAATATCAATATAAAATTAAGTAAATAATAAAATATATATTTTTATATATTTGAGGTGAGACAACGTTTAATAAATTTGTTTCTAACTCAATTCTAATTGTTTACATAAAACCTTGGTTTGATTTAAAAAAAAAAACACATGTATTAGATTAAGATGAATCAAAATATATTGGATAGGGATTATTTTACCAATCCTACTTTCATTGATTTTTCCTTTCAAAATATGTTTAATTAATAGTACAAACACAAAAAAAACAAAATTAAAAAAAAAAAGAAAAAGAAACCAAAACAATTTAAAATAATTTAAATTTTTCGTTACACACAAACTTTAATATAATATTTTTAATGGTTATTTTTTACTATAATTTATTTTATCATTACTGTTATTTTTATATTCAAACACATATCTTATTATCAATTTTTTATCTATTCACTGTAATTACTAATCTCAACACTTCTGTTATATTCAATCTTATTAAAATTAATTTTACCGTCCATTTAAATGAACCTTACCTCTAGTAATAGACATATAAATATGGAAGATAAGATACAAAATTATTACTATACTTAACTATAATGACTTAAAAATATCAAAAGTTAAATTAATATTTTGTAAGTATTTCAATGAGTCAAATTTTATTTAAAGGAATACTCTTGTTTATTTAAAGGAATTTCAATAATTATATATGATAATTTAAAATATAATACGTTGACATAACATAAAAATAATATAAAAATATACAAAAATAATATTATTTAAAATTATAATAAAATTTTTATATAAATTTAACAAAAAATTTAAAAAAATGTATTATTTATTTTTTTATATTAACATATATTATAACATATAATTTTTATATAAAATATGATATAAATATATAAATTATTAATATGTAGCTGTATAAAAAATACGTGTAGGCTTATGTACCAATACCGGTAAACAACCGTCTTCGCTATCCAGAATTCATGAGCAGTACTTTGTCTTTAATTATTTTATAGATATCTATCCTCTTAAAATTAAAATTTAATTAAAATATTTTTTTTCAATTTAAAAAATAATGTCTATGGCCTGGGCCAGTGGACATTTAAAAAATCCAATTAATCGACCATATTAGGCAAAAAAGAATGGAAACCCATGGGCCATATTCCTGCAACCTATACTAGTAGGCCCATGTCCACTTCCCAGTCTTGCTAGCCAATTTCCTTTGTGCCATGGGACTATAAGGAGTCGTGCTATGTCGAGCCGACATGCTTGGGCCGATCACAAGTAATATTTTTATTAATAATTCATTTTAGTATCTAGCTAATATGCAAGACAACTTTTCAAGCAAAATTACATTGGACTTAATAATAAAGTCTTATCTCATAAAAATTTGAAGTTTAATTCAAATAATTCATACAATACTTTTAAGAAGTAATATTTAATAAATTTAAAATTAAAATTATAACTACGATATCAAAAGAAAACATCTTATGTAATTAAATTAATTAAAAAAATATTTAAAGTAGAAAAATAAAATGAAATGGTAGAAAACTTTGTATTAAACATCCAATTTAAAATCAATTAACAATAAATAAAAAGATTCAATTTGAATATAAGTTTACGAGATGTGATATAATATCATTTTAATAGACTTTCATTACATGTAAGCAAAAATGAAAGAAGCATTCTACGTGACAAATTTGAAAAGAATAATAATAAAAAATCTTGACTCTAATATTATATTAAGCATCTAACTTAAAATACAATAAGTAAATGGATCTAATTTAAATATAAAACTATAGGATATGGGATAGAAATATTTTAACATATGGGGTAAATGAACAAGCTAGAAAATAGGAGGACAAGGATGCAAATATAGGTGAAACAAAACTTGGCCATTTTGTTAAAGAGGTTGAAACAAATTAAAGAAATCATTGAGTGAACTAGCAAGTTTTAAAAGCTCTATATAGAACAAATGATAAACATATGTAATAACTCTCTTTAAAAATGAATATGAGAAACATAAAAACCTATATTATTAATGATCTCGAGTTTAAATTTTAAAATAAATCGAGTATCTTCTAATTTTATCTAGTGTGATATGTTATAATAATGTTAAAATTTTAATTTCATTGATCAAGATTTGATATTTTATGTAACTTCAAATACGAAAAAAGAAAGTTTTTAAAACTAAAAGGAGAAATAGCCCTAGACCGATATTGCTAAAGAATATTGTGGGAAATTGGTAAAAACAATCCCATTGGTCATTTTAATTAGTTTTCTTAATATGATAATGGATTGATGAAATTGCTATCCATGAAACATGTAAGAGTAGTTGCATCTATAATAGAATAGGAAGAAATTAATAGCCTTAATCTAAGGGGTAGGATTTTAGATTTTCATTTTGGGAGTATGAAATTTGAATCTTTAAGAAGACAAATGTGAAAGTTATGGAGTAGAAAAGGGTTATATACTTTTGTTTAATTCAAAGCTCCAATAGCTTTCATCGAATTAATTAAATGGTTAATCGAATTATGAAATAGTAAAATATATTGTTTTATATTTATTATTTTTTCACAAAACCCTACCCTAAAATTTTTTTTTGATCCTCATTTTCATTTCTCTCGAACCCCTCACTCAGCTGCCACCCTCCCCTCCACACAATACACATACTAAAAACCCTAAGTTCTCCACTTTTGCTGCCCTTATTTTTGCCGTTACTATCTTCACATAATGATTTTCTTGCTATCTCTCTTGACTATTATCATCTTCGCTCTTATCAAGATTCCTTATAAGCTTAACAAAGACTTCCTTGAAGATGCAAGAATGTAAAAATTATGTTTCTTTTCCTTGTTATCATGTGAGGTTTTTATGGCATTTTCAAATTCTCCTATTTTTCAAGTTGGGTGCTTAGTTCTTTTGAAAATTTCAATTTTTCTTAAAGTGGAAGGGTTATTTGGATCGTTTCAAATTTGGAGATTAAGTTGGTCCTTTATCAAAAGCACTTGACATGGCCTATATCACATCCATATTAGAAAATCTTCTTCTTTAATTCTCTAACCCTGCCAAAAGGGCAAAGCATTTCCTCAAAGCCTATATCCTAATAGCCGATAAGAATTGATTGAGTTGGTAAGATTCGAATATTTCATTTGTAAAACTTAGATTTGAATCTTACTACTACCAATCTCTTTTGGTGGATGATCTATAAATCTAATGTAAGTTTTCTTTAAAACCTGCCATCTACCTAGGTTCTAGATTATAGAAGCCTTCCCTCACCCTAAACTTTTCATGAGAAAAAAAAAAGCCTATGTTCAAACAAGAGAGAGCAAGTTGAAACCTACACATTTTCACCTTAATTCAGATCTAGGTAGAATTTGTGTTCAAAAATACTTAGTAAAACTGAAAAATACTAGTGACTCAATGGTACATTTCCGTCTTTTAAATATGAAAATGATTGCAATGAGAAGGAAAACCACTACCCTATAGAATTAGGACAATACTTGCCATGACATTTCAAAATCAAATGACAGGCAGCATGCATCCATTGGGGTCCTTTTTTAATTATAAAAAAGGTTCGGTTGCTACACATCATGAAGATTTTTATATATTGGCCCTAAGGCTACAATAAACCTATAAATAATTTTGTTAATAAATTTAATTTTTGTTTATTTATATTTATTATTAAATTTAATAAATTATTTTAAAAAATAATTTAAAATTTGTTAATTAAATAAAAAAATAGGAATATAATAAAATTTATTTATATTCGATTCATTATTAATCGAATTGATGACAAACATAATTCATTAAAAAAAAAATCTCACCAAGTTAATTGTCAATTAATGATGTTTTGGCAACTTTTCTAACAGCAGACTGATAGCTTAACAAAGTAAGCAATGTGCAATCAGTGGATTTTAGAACTCATTCACAGCATATAAATGATTTGGTTTGAAGGCTAGGTAGCTTGACTATTTTCATTTTAATTTTATTAATAGGCTAGCTAGACTTAGCTTGTGATATTCTTGCTATGTGATCAAAATAAAAATTTTATACTATTTTAGAAATTTAATGCAACTTTTTATAATTTAACATCTAACTAAACTTTTTAATTTTAATTAATTCTTAAAGTTGACTATTTTTCCTTAAAGAGACAAAATATCAAAAATCAAAGAATAGAATATATATTTTAACTGAGGCAAATAACTTTGAACAAGAATCAATTAAAATGATTAAAACCATATTGAGGTGGGAGAGCAAGTTTTTAAAATTAGGAGTGAACATACCAATTTGATCAATTAAAATTGAATGAATTTAGTTAAATTGATTTGATTAATTTGATTTTGATAACAATTGATTAAATAAAATAGTTTAATCGATTTATCAAGTTGGTTTTTTATTTTTAAAATTAATAATTGCATCAATTGAATTAATCGATTTTTAAAAATAAATTTTAAAATATATTATATAATATAAATATATATAATATTTTTTATGTATATTTTTTAGAATGATAAATATGATATTTGTGGCAAAATTATAAGATGAATTTTATTGTATCTAGCTTGATCATACGTTGAAAATCCACTTGGCAGCCATTTGTCGTACCATATGCGAATTTGGGATCCGTCCCTAACCCTTCACTTTATACATGCTTTCAATAATTCTCTGCCCGCACACAAGCTCCTCCAGGTAAGTGATGGTGTCGATCCTAGTGGTGCATCCAGGAAATTATTGTCTGGAAAGTATTTAGCCTATAGCATCTTATACAGAATGGTTTCCTTATTCCTTAATATCCTCCAACACTACTTACCTAGTACTGCCAAATTAAAGCATTCAAAGTCACGGAAACCCAGTCCCCTTTTGCGTTTAGACCAACATATCATGCTCCAATTTGGCAAGTGCATTTCCCTCATGTCTTTTTAAGAGCTCCACCAGTGTCTACTAGTCAAACTATTTAATTCTTCGCAAAGTCCTTTTGTAAGGGAAAACAGTTCATAGTATACACTAGGAATGCTTGTAAAACAGACTTGATAAATATTTCCTTTCTACCTTGGGAGAGAGTCCTTTTACTTCAGTGCTGGATTTGCATTTTCATTCGATCAATCAAACTCCTAAAGGCACGTCTTTTATTTCTTCCAACCATTGAAGGAAGCCCTAGATATTTTTCTGCGTCGTTAGTAGCATTGACCCCTAGCTTATGCTTAACTACGTCTCTTGATTCATCAGAGGTATTTCTGCTAAAGAAAAGCAATGACTGCTCGAAATTAACCAGTTGCTCTCCATATTTCTGTAATATTTACCGCTCCCTTTCGCTTTCCACAGTATTTGCTTTAAAGAAAAACAGACTGTCATCCACACTTTTTTTATTTGAACCAACCATGGATGAGGAGGAAAATTATTGAGAGGCATAAGTGCAACTTCCTTTCTTGGGCCCCTCAAAAAGGCAAATGGAAGGTTGGCTATAAAAGCAAAAGTGGGTGTACCAAAACATTACAAAAAAAAAAAAAAGTATATCAACGGCTAAAGTGGGTCACCAAAACAAGTTTATGAACATATACTGTATATCATCAACGGCTGCCATTAATTTCTGGATTCCATTGTCCGCTTTTTCTTTTTCGATATTTATTGTTACATAAATTCTTTTCAAAGTTGAAGAAAAAATTTTAAAAAGTTTTTATATTTATCAATGGAATTTTTTTTTAATTTTCTGTTCTATGCAACATTAAGTGAGAATGCAAAAAATATCATAAATAAAAATTTAAGTGCTTTAAATCCAAAATTTAATCTAATTAATTTGTACATCCTCTTTAAAAGATAATTTTAATTAAATTAAAATTTAAAATATAATAATAGCAATTTTTTTAATCAATCTCTCATGTAAAAAAAGTTAAACACTTCTCTTCTAAAATTAAAATTTCACTTTCTTTGATATTTCTGAATTAAATTTTCTTTTGTTTTTATGAAAATCGACTTTTTTTTTTAGATTTTTATTATTTTTTACCCTTTAACTATGAAAAAAATTTAATATAAATATAATTTCCTCCATGCCAAACTGAATTTTCACTTTTTTTTTTAAATTTTTTGAGTTGTTCCTACATTATATTAGTTTATATGTCCACGTCCTTTTTTTTTTGAACACTTACGACTCTTACTTTTCTATATGTGGTCTATATTTATTTTGCTATTTTTAACTTTTAACATTAAAAACTATAGGACATAAATTAGTACTATAAATTAGTACATAAATCTTTTTGTATAAGAATTATTTTTATGCGGATTGAAATTTGTATAATTTAGCATGATAAAATTAAGGTTTAAAAATTATAGAATAAAAAAAAAATTATGCCTATATTATCTTAATAAGAAAGTTAAATATAAAAATAAAGGTTCAAAATTTAGATTATAAATTAAAAAAAATCATTTGTATAAATATTACTCGTATTGATTTATTGATAAACCATTTGGATGTTGAAATTGGAACTTCACATTAAAGAAATGTGAGCCCCAACAAGAAGATAAAAAGCCCCACCTCTCCCATGCTTCCCCTTCGACTTCGAGTCCATATCCACTTTTCTAGTCCTTGAGCCGAATTCCTTCATGGAAACCACTCCTCAATGCAGCAAACAAACCAAGAATGATTCCTTGGATGAAACTGTAGGTGAAACCCTTTTGCCAGGCCTCCCTGACGATCTAGCTCAACGCTGTCTCTCTTCTCTATCTCCTTCCCTTCTTTTCTCTGTTTGCCACCCATGGCGTCGCCTCCTTTACTCTCCTTCTTTCCCTCCCTTCTTCTCCCTTTATGCTCTCCTTTCTCCTTTGCAAAATCCCACTACAAGAAACCTTGGAGAAGTTGCTTCTCAAAACTCAATTGAGTTTTTCTCTTTTGATCCATTATCATCAGCTTGGAGACCACTTCCTAGACCTCCACAAAACCCTCCTCTTCATCTCCTCCATCGCCACCCTTCTTTTCTATCCCGGAACCTTCCAATACAATCCTTGGCAGTCTCCAACCATTTGGTCCTCATAGCTGCCACCACTCACAAGCTTTTCCCTGCACTTTCCAGCCCTTTAGTCTTCCATCCAGAGTCCAACCGCTGGTTTTATGGCCCCCAAGTCTCCATCCCACGCAGGTGGTGTGCTACAGGCTCAGCACGAGGGGTGGTCTATATAGCAAGCGGTGTTGGCTCCCATTACAAACCTGATGTAGCGAGGTCAATGGAACAGTGGGATTTAAACAAGAAGATTGAAAAATGGTGTTGGGAAAATAAGGCACAACTCAAAGACGGAAGGTTTAGCAGAGAAGCAGTGGAAGCAGTTGGATATAGAGGGAAACTTTACATGGTTAATGTCAAAGGCAATGCAGTGAAAGAAGGTGCAGTTTACAATGTGGAATTGGACAAATGGGAAGACATGCCTCCAGGAATGGTTGCTGGTTGGACTGGGCCAGCAGCGACAATGGATGAAGATGTGATTTATGTGATTGATGAAGTGAAAGGTTGTTTAAGCAAATATGATGGTGAAAAGGATTGTTGGGTGAAGGTAATTGAGTTGGAACAGCTTAAACGTGTGGAACAGATAGCCGCAGGGAGAGGGAAAATTTGTGCCGTTTCAGCAAATGGGGAAAGCATTATAGTGGTGGATGTTGGAGGAAGAGCTGCCAGGTTTTGGGAGGTGGCGCCGCCTCGTGGGTTGGAAGTGGTTGCTGCCCATGTTTTGCCTAGAATTAGTAGGCAAGAATAGTCAATATTGTTAAAACTAAGCCCCGTTGAGAATCAAGTCATTTGTTTGCTTGCTTGATTGTTTTTCACCTTTTTTAATTTTTAATTTTATGTTTTTAAAGTATATATCTGCTTTATAAAATGTTATATTTTGGTGTAGTTATGGCAACCACTAGACTTATTTAAGAGTTCTAATATCTATTTTGAGTCAAAAATTCGTTCAAATTTTAAGAGAGTTGGACAAAAAATTAAAATTTGTTGAATGGATTTGGGCATAATTTTTAAGTTTGTTTATGTTTAGGGTCAGGTCTTGGATAAAAGAATTAAAATCCGAGTTCGGCTTAATCGAATAAAATATATAATTAAAATATTAGAATTGTATAAGTATATAAATGTTAATTTTAATTTTTATATTTTATTTTATTTTATTTTTATTATATAAATTAGATTCAATGGATGGATTTAGAATTTAATATTTCAATTTGAGTCGAGCGTGGAAAGATTTTGAAACCCAAATTATCGGATCAGGTCAGGTCTAAGCAAGCATATAAACTATTAATATCAAACATGGATCCGACCCAAATCGAACTCAGCTCGATTCATAAATACCTTTAGCAACAATAATAAACATGCATAAATGAAGAAAAAGAACAAAGTTGTAAGCAAGGCACTTCTAGAAAGCTTTATGAAGGATAATAATCTTTCTACTACGATGCAAATGGACTCTTGAAAATGTTATCTCTACAATACAATTCCTACCATGAATAAAATGAGATTGCACTATTATTTCTTCTTAAACTCATTTGAACCAAGAACACAAAGAAGAGTGCAAAAAGGAAATTTTGATTTTAATTTTTGTAAATATGTAAAGGTGTTATTAAAAATGTGTTTAGAAAAGTATTTATAGACCTCAATAGGTGTTTCAAACAACCTTTCACATAAAAGTATCATTCAAATTAATTGATGTAACTTTTGGAATGAAAGAACATTTTTAACGAACTTATTTTTAGTTTCAAGATGTGGGTACTCGGATGCTTCTATTTCAGAATGTGAGTATTTGAAAACCCAACTTATGATATTCGAATGCTCTCTCTCGGATTTTTAGTTTTCCTATCAAGCATATGGGTATACAAATGCCCAACTTAGTTAAGGTATTTAAATGTTTGCTCTCTAACTATCAAATTTGATTATTTTGAAATAGAGTAATTGAATGTACCTTACTTATTTCATTCCAAAGATTATTTATAATTTTTTAAAACATAATTTTATCAAAAAATGCATTCTACATGATTTAGAAAACCAACATTCTTACTTAGAAAACATTATTTTTGGTATATATATATATATTTATATATTTATATAACATAAAAATTTTTAAATGGTGGGAATTGAATTGGGCAATATCGGGGGGAGTAAAAGAAATGCTAATTCATTGTGCAAAGGCCTCATTTAATGGAGTGATAAAAAAGAGATGGCTAGCAGTGTGTGGAACCACCTTCTGGTCAGTTTGACTGGTAAAAAATGAAACAGTATTTTAAACAAGAATTTTGAAAGAGATGAGGTAGTGTTCCTTATTAAATTAAAATCGTTATTTTGGATAAAAGCTGTTGAAGAAGAAGGTGGGATAGGAGAGGCAGAATGGTGGGCGAATCCAAAAGAAAGCCATTCAACTGTAAATGAAACATAGACGAGAATGGACATTCAATGGGAGTATCCAAGAGGGAATGTGTTAAAGTTTAATGTGGATGGATTGGTTAAAAGCAAACTAAGATCGACGGGATGTGGGGGTGTATTAAATAGAGATAGCAATGGATCGGGTTGAGGCAGGTTTTTGCTCGTCTCGAATTTGATCGACTTTATATTCACAATATTCAAACCCAATTTTTTTTATTTTTTTATACTCAAACTTGACCTGATATTGTATAAAGCATATATGATCCGATCTGACCTGATTAAAAATTAATAAAATATTTTTAAATATAAAATAATATTTTTAATATAAATATAAAATTAAATATATATATATATAAATATAAAATTAAATAAATAATTAAAAATAATTTTTTTTATATATATAGGGTCAGGTTAGGTCAGGTCGAGTTTGTCTAAAATCCGACCTCGACTTTTTTCTACTATTACCTGATCTAAAATTGGATTTTCAAAACAAAAATCGATCTTAAGAAGTTAGGTTGGGTCGGAACCCGCTAGGAGCGGGTTGGGTTGCCATCCTTAGTATTAAAATATGCAACATGGCTCATAAGAAGATTGTTTTATGGTCCTTTAGGAATTCAAGATTCAATTTAGGCTAAGGTAATGGGAAGAATACTATAAAAAAATTTTATATATTGACATTTGGTTATACTGATGGTCAAATTACGTTAATAAAAGACTTTAACTGATGGTTTTTTAATATCATCTGAATATACCATACTTATACTAACATTTTATTTAACCATCCGTACAAATAAATTTTTTTGACAATATATGACTATTCGTGAGCTAACCGTCAGTATAAGCTCAAACAAAAAAAAAAAACTATTGGCTTTCATTTGGGAAAAAAATATGAGGTGTTTGGTAAGGGATTATTTAAGGCATTTTTTGTCAGAAATGCCTTGAATAACCCAAAAAATACTAAATGGATTGATCGAACCTACAATCTTATGGTTAACAACTATATGCTCTAACCAATTGAGCTATTCTAATGTTTTTATAATTAAAAGCTATTATTTAAACTAAGAATAATCTCCTCATAGAAGGAAATATTCAAGGTGTTTTGTATTAAAAATGCTTTGAATAATCATATTTAATTTTTATGAAGGGATTATTCAAGATGTTTTTGGCTAGAAAACACTTTGAATAATCCTTGAAAAACCCAAAAAAAGCTAAATGGAGGGATTGAACATATGACCTTATGATTAACAACTATATACTCTAACAAATTAAGTTACTCTAGTATTTTTATAATTAAAAGGTATTATTTAAACTAAGAATAATCTCTTCCCAAAGAAGATTATTCAAGGCTTTTTCTGTCAAAAAAGCCATCAATAATCTTTTCTCTTTTTTTAGGATTATTTAAGGCGTTTTATACTAGAAAACGTCTTGAATAATCTCTTGAAAAACTAAAAAAATGTTAGAAAAAGAGATCAAACGTATAACCTTATGGTTAACAGCTATATACTTTAACCGATTGAGCTACTCTAATATTTTTATAATTAAAAGATATTATTTAAACTAAGAAAAATCATCTCCCATAGGGGATTATTCAAAGCGTTTTTTGCTAAATACGTCTTCAATAATCTGCATTCATTTTTTTTTAGATTGTTCAAGACATTTTTGGCCCAAAAAAAACCTTAAATAATCTTATTTAATTTTTTGTAAAAGATTATTCAAGGTATTTTCTAGCAAAAAGTGCTTATTCAAGGTATTTTCTAGCAAAAAGTGCCTTGAATAATCCCTTCATAAAAATTGAAGGGGGTTATTCAAGGTGTTTCTGACAAAAAATGCTTGGAATAATCTTCAAAATGTTTAAATCATTTTTTCCCTCCACATCTCGCCGACTCTACATACTTAATCTCCACCTTCTACCAACTTTCTTCACTTCTCATTGACTCTACAAACTTAAACCCATCGACACCCATTTTGTTTTAGAGCTAAATCAAAGTTGAAGCATCAACACTTTAGTAATTTCTCAAAGGTATTTTTTATTTTTTGCATTTTAATTTTGTGTCATCGAGCATGCCTTTTTTTTTGTCCTCCTACTAACATTGGCTTTGATGATTGAATGTTTTGTAAAGAAGTAATAGCTTAAGACGATTGAATGTTTGGGGTTCACACAATTTGTACAAAAAAACCCAAATCTCTGTAAGTAGTGATTTAACATATTTACAACCTTGGTGCAGGTACAATAAAATAGTAAATTACATTGTTTAAAAAATATTTCCTAGAATTTAGTTATTAAATTACATATTTTTTCTATATGTAGGCAATGATAATCAGCTTATAAACAAAATCCTAGATCCATTATATTTAGATAGTGGGTAGCAACCCTTTAGAGACATTTAAACAATTTTGAAGAATTCAACAACTTCAGCAGTTGCTTGGATTGGTAAAGTATGGGAAACCTATAATAGTGGACAAAATCTTGTTAGCAATTCATTTGTTTATAGTTTCTGGTATGCTTAACTAGACCTTGGGAACATTTCCTATGTTAATTGACTAGTAAAAGCTTAATTTGACATGAATTTTTTTTATTAGGTTTTACTAATTAAACAGGTATTTAGACCAACTTGGGATAGCATCATCTTACTTTGAAAAATTTTTTATTTACTTTGAACACCATGTTTGTAGGATTCAATCATAGATATTAGTTTTTTTTTTTTTTTGGATTTGGTATAATGGCGATAGTTCTTAACATTTTTTAAATTTATGGATTATAAAGCAATTTGGTTGTTGTTTTATTTCAAATGTTATTAAATATTTTTACTTTTTTATATATTTTTATTTTATATGAAGCCATATCATATTATGATTATAAATAAATTAATATTAATAATTCAAAATATAATTCAAAAAAAAATTTTACCGACGCCTTAAAATTTATACCGATGTGTTTTACTATGAGAATATTTTAGGTTATACTGACAGTCATCACATAAGGCTATACTGATGGGCATTGACCGTTAGTAAAAGATATATTGACAAAGACATCATCGGTATAAGTTGACAAAATTAAAACATACAAGTCAATACTAACGGGAATAACCATCGGTAAAAAAATATAATGCAAAAAATATAATAATTGCCATACCAATAGCTATACATATAGTGACATACTAAAATCGTTAGTATATTTTTGTTAAATAATTCGATAGCTTAAAAACTATTAGTATAGGTTTATACTGACAAAGGATATACTGACTATTATAAATTCATCGAAATAGATATTTTGACCGTCAGTATAAAGTTTATTATGTTATACCGATAGATTTTTAAGTTTTACTGATGATTGTTTTAGCATCAGTATAGAGTAATTTTTTTGTAGTAGAGTTGGAAGAGATTGATCAGTTAAAAGAGATAATAAGATAT